TGGGGCTGTATTTATTATCTATTGCTGCTTAACAGTTTATTCCACAATTCTTGAAACAATAAACACTTTATTGTCTCCCCACAGTTTCTAGGGTCAGGAATACAGGTATGTTTTAGTTGGGCATCTCTGCCTGAATTTCTCACGTGGCAACAATCAAGGTGACAGCCAGGTCTGCAGTCTCATCTGAAGGCTCAACTGTGGGAGGATCCATTTCCAAGTTTGCATGTGGTTGTTGGCAGGATTCACTTCCTTATCATTTGTTGGACTGAAGCCTCAGTTCCTCATCAGCTGTTGGCCAGAGGCCTCTGTCAGTTTCTACCTATGGGAATCTCTCCGCAGAGCAGCTCACAACACAGCACTGACTTCCGTCTGAGCAAACCAGTAAGACAATAGCTGGGGGAGGCAAGCAGGATAGAAGCCAGTCTTCTTATAAACTAATCTTGGAAGTGCCATCGCATCCTTTCTGCCATATTCTGTTCTTTAGAAGTGAGTCATACAGGTCTAGCTCACACTCAAGAGGAGGAAGGGGTGATGTAAGGGCATGAATATTACCAGAAGGCAGCCATCACTAAAAAGACAGTTAGCAAGATGCTGTCCACTGGAGAAGCCTTGGTTTTTGGAAGTTGGTTTTCTCAAGTGTCTAGTAATCTTTGTTCTAAATGAAAGACCTTGTGGGTTATTACAGGTACCGGGTCCGGGTTACCTTGTGACTGAGAATGTAGGTCTGTGTCACATATATAGGCTTCCTTTTGGGGTGTGTGGGAAGAGTGCAGGAAGGCAGGATGGTACTCCCCCTTGTATAATTCTACATCCTTTAGTGTGCATAGGTGGAAACTATGACTTGCTACCAGCCACCGGTGCATGGCAAACAACCTGAGGTTGTTTCTCCCTTGATTCCGTCACATTATATGGCAAACGAGAAGGGATTTTGCAAATGTAATTACAGTCCTAAACCAGTTGATTTTGAGATAATTAAAAAGGAGATTTTCCTGAGTGGGCCTGACTTAATCAGACAAACATCCTCAAAGGAGGACCAGGGCCTTCCCTGAAGTCACAGATGCTCCTGCTGAGCTTGAAGAAGCAGACCACGTGAGTTCTATAGCTGCAGGAAAATGAACTTTTCCAACAGTCTGAATGAACTTGGAAGTGGGTTCTTCTCCACTCAGGCTTCCAGATGGGAATGCACCTTGGCCAATATTTTGATTGCAGCCCCATGAGACCCCGAACTGAGGAACCAACTAAACTGAACCTGGACTCCTGACTCGTAGAAACCGTGAGATAATACATGTATTGTTTTAAACCACTAAGTTTGTGCTAATTTGTTATACAGCAGAAAATTAATGTTGCGCGTGGGTCACCGGCCAGCAGTGACCACGGAACGCTGTGGATGGCTCGACAATAAACACGCGAGAAATAACAACATGCACAGAGACAAACTAGTTTCTGTGGGGAAGTAGGGACAAAATGGCCACCCCCCCAGTGGGGAGCGCGCTGATTTACCGTCCATACCTGCTTTTATTAGGCTCATTTTGCATAATAATTCAGGTAAAGTACAGTACTCATTAGGGGAAGTAAGGAACTATAGAAAACAAAGAACTCTGCCAGTCTATTGAGTTGGGGTCAAAGAGCTGTAAGACTGAGGAACTAACTTCCTTCCTCCTAAGACCCTTCTCATTCAACTGAGAGCATTCTAAACAAAGAAGGTTTCACAGTAATTTACATGTTCTTTCTTAGGCCTGATCACCCTGGGGAATCCGCACTTCTCAGTACTGAGCTGCACCACCCTGTCATTGTTTCAGGCTTAGGTGGAGCAAGGGAACTAAGGCAACCAAGAGATAAGGAGATTTTCTCCCAGACGCTGAGAACTCAGGCTATGTCAGAGCCGAGGAGCGAGGGTCCATCACCCCCTTTTGCTGCAGCCCCCCAAGTCCTTCTTTTGGGGGGGCCTCCCAAAGTGATCATGCCTGGCTTAGGTCGTTCCCCCGTGGGGAATCTTACCCGTCTTTGGCTAACCGACCAAGCTTTTTGGGGTTCAGTTATGAATAAAGCAGCAGAAGCAGCATTTCTGCCAGGGAGATAAGCTTTTGTCTCCTTGCTGGCTTACAGTTCCAAGGGCGTTCCCTTAGCCTTAGCTAGGCGGGGATTTCAGCCTCTGATACCAGTCAGGGCGGTTCCCAACAAATTAACACAGTGTATTTCCCTCCTAGTCCCTCTAAGTGCTTCTGCTGTTGTGGTTGTCCTTTGGGTCTGCAGTGGGTGTCTGGAGTAAAGCCAAACCCTGTGCTCTTGGGAGTCCAGCTTTCTCTTCAGGAAGGACACACCTTTCTGCAGACGACTTGGGCTGTGACTTGAAGGAGCATCACTGAGGCTAGTCATGCCTTTTATTTCCTTATGTTGGGTGTTGGGAAGAGGAGGAGCCTAATTTCCCTGATGTTCTGAGAACACTTTAATGAAATGCCCTACCAATCGTCTCCTTGTCTTTTCCCATTCTTTGTGTTTGTAGAGTCTGATTTTGAGGCTTCCCTGGCCACTCTGGTTGGGAACCATGCTTACAGAGGGGCGGGCCAAGTAGGCTTACAGCTGTGAGTACGTGAAACACAGTTTATCTTTGCATTATTAATTAATTAATTAATTAGTTAATTGTTGTATTTATTACTATTATCAACCAACTTTTGTCTACCCCTGTATGTCAGGTTTCCTCTACTCTGATCTTCCCACCACTCTAATTCTTCTTGGTTTTTCTCTTCATGGAATTTCATGGAATTTCTGGTCTGTTGGTGGCATATTTTCCTGATTTATAATGCTGTTGTGGTTTCATTCTTAACACAGAAAATCATTTTCATAGCGTTTCAGTGGAACCGTAGAATTGATGGGAGGCCGATGCTGGTGGCGAGGCTGCATGAACTCAGCACATGTCCTGGACTGGACTTTTTCTTTTCATATGAGAAAATAAAATACTGTTTTTGCAATCTAATACTGATCTAATATATTTGTAATAAATTTGGCTGTGTTTCTGATAAAATGGATAAGAAAGGGCAGAATTTTTATAATATAATTACTTTTCTCATGCTCTATTATTACTTCCTCCCTTAAAAGTTCCCCAAAGCATATTTCTATGAAGACTCTACTCTTTTTTTCCCTCCTTTTCTCTTCTTCCCACTTACAGTTGCAAAGCCTTTCTTTCTACTCTCTTAGGGCAATTCCTTAGAACAAGTGACTTAAAAATACTGCTGACACTACGGTTTTCCTAACTCAAATAGCACACATGACGTAAGTGCTGAGGGTGTTGAGATAATTGAACTGAAACTGTGATTTTAGAATTGTCTTAAGACTCTTTTAGTTCCAAGTAACACAAACTCATTTCAATTTAGTTTAGGTTAAAAAGAGAATTTATTAGATGGAAACTGCAATATCTTACTGAACTTAAGGCTAAAAATTATGTTCAGATGTCATAAGGGTCTGGAACCAGAATGGAAAGCTGACAGGCACCCAGGTTGTTGTTATTTTCTGTCTCAGACTTTCTGTCTCGCTCGTCTCTACTTTGTTGAACATCTGATATTCCTTTCTCTCTCAGAAGACTCACTTTGTTTTGGCATAGATGTGGCCAACTATGGCTGCCCAACAATGGTAACCTGAGTTTCCAAGTCCATATCATCTCAGTTGAAGCAAATAGGTCAGAGGCACAATCCCAGATTCTAAGAAGAATCTAATTGGTTTAGCTTGGGCCAGTTACTTTTTTTTTTTTTAAGACCAGTTTAATGTGGTCTTTGAGGGCAAGTTTTATGGTACAAACTTGGCTGCCAGGGCCCAAGTTCCCAAAGATGAAGTAAATGGGTAGAAGATTGAGCTGATATCTCAAAACACATCTACTGCAATATTCTTGTTTATATCTAGTGTGCTGTTTCTCATTAGAGAAAGTTTAGCTTGTAATTAAGAACATGGGCTTAGGGGCAGACAGACTTTGATTTGAATCCCATCCAGCCCTGCCATGTACAAGTTATGGGACCTCTGTGAAGATTGAATCCTTTCTCTCTACAATTGGAATGATAAAACTATCTTCTTGAGTTTCTGGGAGGATGAGATGAGAATATGTGTGGTACTCCCCACATTGTCAACTAATGAAAGCTATTGTCATTTATTGCTTTATCATGCCATTTGGGAAAGATTATGTGAATAGAGGAAAATACATTTTTACCAACTTGTATACAACAGGAAGTTCTGGTGACAGAGCTTTAGATGCCATGGAATGGCATAATCAATAGAAATCTAAACAGAGTTTATCTTCTTTGGGCACAGGCTAGATTGTAAGAGTTAGGGCCCAAAGAATCTACACTTATTCCCAGAATGAATTTTTGCTTCTGTTGCTTTTGAAAAGAATGTGCAAAGGTAGTCAGTGTTCTCAAAATCCTAAAGAGAGCAAGCAAGTCTGGTAGCTGCCGGTATAGTCGTCATAGTTCTCTTCAGCCAGTGCCTGTTCCCGTAGTTGTTTCACTTATCCTACTTTCTGGCAAGTCTGTTCCGATTGGCTAGTGTCTTGCTTGGTGAAATATTTTAAATATCATCCCTGGAAACCAAGTATATGCTTGTCAAATCAAAGGTTTCTTTGTTTAAAAAAAAAAAGATGTTCTATTTTCTTCATAGAACAGTGGATTTCCTTTGTACTTTTCTCACTGATGTAATGAAATAGTGGGTTGCAGCCATCATTAAATGAACTCTAAGTAAAAAAATATGTATAATCATAATTATTCAAATTCTATATAGTTAAAGGATGCCAAAAGTAGGCCAAAAGTTAAGTTTTAGTAAAAACAATATGTAAAATGATAATGACGCAAGTTCTTTGTTAAGGGTGTCATATGTGAACCAAAAGTTAACCTTTACATGAAGTAGAGTTAGCCAAACAAGCTATGTTTCTGGTTTCTTCTTAAAATGTAGTGCATGCTTTTCTATATGGAACTGTAGTAGAACAACATCTCAATGACTAACTATAATTTTTTCTCAAGTTATGCAGACATTTTGATTGAGAGGGAAGTATTGATGCAGAAGTACATTCATCTCGTTCAGATCGTAGAGACAGAAAAAATTGCAGCTAACCAACTGCGACATCAACTTGAAGATCAAGATACAGAAATCGAAAGGCTTAAATCAGAGGTATTTCCCAGTTGGTGATTCCTTCTCATTGTTTCACACTTACGGTCATCTCCTCATGATTATTTAAGGCCTATCTGGGCAAATATTTAATCCCAAATGTAGTTTCTCTGCTATCGATATGTATGTGGCCAGGCTACTGATCTACATTAGAAACAAATCTAATGTTTGTGTTAAAAATAGGCAAATATACTTCAATAAAATATCAGAATTATAGGCTATGTTTAAATTATTTGTGTTCCTGATTGTCCTTCCTTTGATCAGCGATTCAGAGTTGACTATAATATTTAATTGTTTTCAGATTGACTCTTATGGTAAAGCTAATTGTGAGTCTATCATAGAAATTCAATTAAAGTTCAAATGACAACTAAGGAAGGAGCAAAGATGAATTCAGAATGACTTTACTTTTTCTGGATCTAAGGAGTCTAGCCTTCTTCCCTTTAGAATTTTGAAAAATATGTTTGAATTAAAAAGTAAGACATTTATTAGGGTGCATTTTTTTCCCCTGAAATTGGAATTCTTGCCTCTTTCTTCTCCTCCCCCACCCCCTTAGCATGAACTTCTCAGGCCCTATGCTCCCAGGCAGTGAGACTGAGCCAGGTGAGAACAGAAGTGGTCATAGAGTCTGCAGCCATGGCAGTGTGCCTGGGCCTCCCTCTCTGCAAGGTGCCTCTGTCTGTGTACCTTGTCTTGCTATCCTGTCCCTTCTTGTGCGAAGTGATTGATGGTTAAAGGTTCAAAGAGGAATGTAGAAAGTGAGTTTTCTTCCCTCTTTCTCACTATCAGGGCATTAATATCTTCTTTACTTCAAAGAGAAGTGTTAGACAAAATGAAATCTACTGCTAGTTGTATTCTTGTTGACAGAGACAATTCAGGCTCCTCAGCCTTGGTAACTTTCTTGTCATGTTTCTGTCATTTGACAACTTTGTTTTTCGTTTCCTCATCCCTTCCCCTAAGACATGCTCTGTGCATCCTGTGAGGGGTTTCACCTGCTTTCTGTGTACTTCACCCCCAGTGCACAGAGCATGGGCCTCAACTAGTTCCATCTGGGATCCGCTGGCTTCCCTGGTGATGATTACTTGCAGACTGTGTTCACCATATCATTAGTGTTGTTATCTTCCTGATGCAACCCTGAAATCTGATACAGTGAAAACAACAACAGAAAACCTAACAAACCTGCATTTTAAAAGACTATATCAGGCACTATAATTTAAAAGAAAATTATTGTGTTCTCTCTTTGCCATTGTACAATAAGCTAGAGCAGATGCTTGCCTGCGAAGTGAAAGAGGCTGGTGTTTTTCTCTCTAAGAGAAACTCAGCCCCAAGCGATGTTCCCCGATATTTATTTGTGTGTGCCGATCTGTCTTCATTGTGTTCTGTTTGAGTCTGAATATAGACTGCAGTTAGAAACTGTCAGTGCCAGGTATGCCTTGTGTGGTTGCTTGACAGGAGCCACAATTTATTTCCTACGCCTTCTATTTCCCCACTTCCCTGCCAGAATGTGGCAGAGATGTGCACTTGGTATTAGAGGTAAAATGTAAAGACAGGTCAGAAGGAGTGATTACAATCCCTTAATTTTGTATTTGCTTGTTAGTAGATCTGTTTAGGTTCTTATGTTTGTAAGTGCCTACAAACTGAGCAGTAAGTCCAGTGAATTTTGTCCCTAAGTGCAGTTGAGGGGCCATCTGGTCTTGAATTGCTCCTCACTGGTCACAGAACTGAACTGGAGATAAAAGGAGATCCCAGGTTGTTTTGATCCTTTTTTATCTTTTTACCTTTTCACCTTTTCTTGGTGGGTTGGGACCAACCCTAGGGCTCTGAAGTTCCCTTTGCAGTTACCATTTCCCCCAGGAGAACCGTGAGTCTGCTGACTTGTGTGTACTTGGAAGGCTGAAGGCTGATTCTTCCCAGAGATGCAGGAGCTGTGAGCTGAGTGTCTTTGCATTTGGAGATCACAAGGCATTGTGGGCAGCTGCCTTCAGGCGAGGTGGCTGACCTGTCCCTCAGCCCCTGAGAAGGTCTTGGCCTGGGCATCGCTGGCAAAACTGGCAGGGCTACGTTTTGAGCCAACATTTCACCTAACCCAGACCCCAGTTCACACTTCCACAGTTACTTCTCATAAGCACTGCTGTTTCTAACAAAACAGAAGGCTTAGAGTAAAGTTCATGCTTCCCCTGCTGCGGTACCAAAGGCAGAAAGTGAATAAGAAATTAATGCTTCCTAAAGATCTCATGAGCTATCTTGAGGGTGTAACTATGGGTTATAGCAATAATCCAGTATTTTCCAAATCATGAAATGGACCTGTTCTGTGTTCTAGATTGTTGCTCTTAATAAAACCAAGGAACGAATGCGGCCTTACCAAAGCAATCCAGAAGACGAGGATCCAGACATCAAGAAGATTAAAAAGGTAGGATGCTGGGGGTTTCTGGCTGCGGAGGCACAGTGACCAGTTGGGGGTTCTGTGGTACTGTCTTTGCCACCCTGTCCTGAGCTGAGAACCTTGGTGTTTCTGTTCTGATGGCTCCCAGACTTGCCCTTCAGAGTGATCCAGACATGACTACTTTTCTAGAAAAGTATCAGCCTAAGATTTCTTTCCAGTCCTGAGGATCTCCTTTTGGACTCTGTGCGAAGGATGCCAACCAGACCTTAAGATAGCAGTGTTCTCCAGCTGGGTTAATTAAGTGCTGTTTAACCTCCTGATTTTGTGCTTCTTTCATATTTTGGGGGAATGTTTTTTAAATTACATTTCAAAAATATTTCTTTTAGCCATAGTCTTTAGTGCTTATTTTTTTGAACATGTGAGAAGTTTGAATAAATCACTACATCTGCTCAGATTTCTAGTTTATTATTGTTTCTTTCTTGTTTAACATTCACAAAATCAGCATATCTTTTCCATCTTACTGTTATTTATGACGGTACAACTTTTGTAATTATCAGACACTGGCACTCAATCCAGTCTACTGTGTTTGCTTTATGTCATCGAGGTTTTGAGTTCTGTAATCCTAATTGTCCTCAGTAAAGCACTTAGCTTTGTTAACATTATGTGAAAAGCCTCATTATTAAAATCTTTAGTTCTTAATTTTTCTTAATGCTATTTCTCTATCCTAAATAATTATTCCTTTTCAGCTGTAACAAAACTTTAACTAAATATTGCTTAGAATTTTAAATAGAAATATTTCTTAGGACTAAATTACAATGTCTTTAGTTTTTAAGAAATAAAAAAATAAAATAACATCTTTTTTAAAGAACTTATAACTTTATACATTGAATTTGGTTCATGCTATTGTGTTACAAGATTAATGTTATTGACTTTCTTTTAATAGTATGTAGTTGCACGTGAGCAAAGAAATCAGTAAAATACAGCTTCCAGTGCAGTGGTGGATCCTGGTCTGTTAGGAAGAAAGTGACCAGCTTTTGCTCTGCAGAAAGTAGCTGTCCAAGTGAATAGAAAAGTTTTATGTAACACAAAATTCAGTTCAGTCAATTTTTTAAAATACTCTGGTAAATGGAAGAATAATGATACTTTTTACCTGTAATAACGTTCTATTTCTTAGAAGAAATAACTCTTTTAAATAACTTGTTAAATAGATTTTGAAATTTACTCTTTTGTTTTTCTGTCTCAAATCAAACTAATGTCTATGTGGAAAAAAGGGTGTTTACGAATGAATTAGTTTCTCTAGCCTCATTTTGACAAATGTCAATGCAATTTTTTAACTTCAAGAGGCCAAAAATTAAAATTGATTTTAATTCACAGAAATTTACCATTAAATTTCTTCAAATAATATACATATAATTTTCCCCATATAATTTTATTAATTTTTATTGTTTCAGTTAAATCAACTGTATGAATGCCTGTAGAAAATTGATAGTATGCTAACAACATCAGTAGGTAAATGAGAGAATTTTAAACATTGCAAAAGAAGAGTAGTTGTTTGAATACATGATAATTTAGACTCCATGGATCAAACAGTATGGAAAAAATAAAAAGTGTAGGACTGTGCTGAATAGATAATGATGGTACTAAAAAAAGATTTGTAGTGACGTAATGCTTTTAATTATAAGTGAATCTGCAACTTGCTTTGTTGCTGAATCTGCCACTTAAATATAACAAATACTAAAAAAATATCATATAACCTTTTTATATTTAGGAAGGACCACAGGTATAATTGGTCAGTTATTTTGTAGATGAGGAAATGGAAGACCAGAGTTCAAGGCCACTCCCAAGGTTAGATGCAGAGCCTTTGGGTTAAGGATTATGACATATCCCTGTGTGCTTAGCACCCGGTATTTAGCTGGGTTTTAAACAATGACCAGTGAATGTTTTTGGCTAATACACACAGACCAGTGCACTTTGTGAGGTTTGCTTATTACTCTGCAAACCATACCTAGGGAATTCAGATCAATTTTAAAGGCTATCATATTTTCTACAAAATTGATTTTAACTATATTTTATGTTTTTTTCAAAAAATAATAACCATTGCAAATTTGTCCATGTGCTGAAACAGAGAGTCTTTATGGTTAACAAAATGCAGGTGAAAGAACACCAGTTCTGCTTGCAGCCTTCCTACCTGTGTGATTTACCAGGATATTTAGTTTACTCATCTGTGAGAGGAAGCAGTTGGAAGAGCTCATCTCTAACACTTATTTTTAAACTTAGTAAAGTGGCATGTCAACAACAACACAAAATCAAATGACCCAATTATAAAACAGACAAAGGAATAGACATTTTTCCAAAAATGATATGCAATTGATCATTTGTATATAATCTCTGGAGACCTCACATACACATGAAAGGGTACTCAACATCACTAAGCACTAGAGAAATACAAATTAAAACCACAATTTAATATCACCTCATACCTATTAGGATGGCTACTCTAAAAAAAACACCAAAATAAGTATTGATAAAGATGTGGAGAACTTGAAACTTGCACACTCTTGGTGAGATTGTAAAACGATTCACCTGCTATGGAAAACAATACAGTGGTTCCTCAAAAAATTAAAAATGGAACTACCATTTGAGCCAGCAATCCCACTTCTGGGTACATACATGATGCGTGGGTCACTGGCCAGCAGTGATCATGGAATGCTGTGGATGGCTCGTCGAAACTCGAGAAGAAACATGCACAGAGACTGATCAGTTTCTGTGGAGAAGTAGGGACGGAACAGCCACCCTCTCTAGTGGGGAGCATGCCGATTTGCCATCCAAACCGGTGTTTACTGGGTTCGTTTTGCATAAGAATTCAGGTAAAGCACATTACTCATTGCGAGGAAGTAAGGATCAGACGATAGGTAACAAGGAACTCTGAGGGTTTATTTTGAGTCAGGGTCAAAGAGCTGTAAGACTTTAAGGAACAAACTAACTTCCTCCTTGGACCCTTCTCATTTAACTGAGAACATTCTAAACAAAGAAGGTTTCCCAGGAATTTACATGTTCTTTCTTAGGCCTGATCACCCGGGGAATCCACCCTTTCCAGCACAGGGTGGCACCACCCTTTCATTGTTTCGGGCTTAGGTGGAGCAAGGGAAGTAAGGCAGCCAAGAGATTAAGAGATTTTCTTGCAGAGCAGGAAGACTCAGGCTTTGTCAAAGCCAAAGGGCAAGAGTCCATCACCCCCTTTTGCTGTAGCCCCCAAGTCCTTCTTTTGGAGGCCTCCCACATGATCGTGCCTGTCTTAGATCGTTCCCCCCTTGGGGAATCTTACCTGTCATTGGCTAGCCGACCAAGCATTGGGATCCAGGCAGGGTGAGGTATGAAGGAGCAGAAGTGGCGCTCCTGTCAGGGAGATAAGCTTGTCTCCTTGCTGGCTTACGGTTCCAAGGGCGTTCCCTTAGCCCTTAGCCTAGGTGGGGGTTACAGCTTCTGATACCAGGCAGGGCGGTTCCCAACACATACCCAAGAGAATTGAAAGTGGGATTTTGAAGTGATATCTGCATCCCCATATTTATTGCAGCATTATTCACAGTAGCCAAGAGGTGAAAGTGATCCAAATGTCCACTGAAAGATGTATGGGTTAAAAAATATGGTACCCGGGTACCATGGAATATCACTCATTCTTAAAAAGTGAGGAAATCTTGGCACATATTACAACATGAGTGAACCTTGAGGACATTATACTAAGCGAAATAAGTCAGACACAGAAAGACAGATGCTGCGTGATTCCACTTATATGAGGTATTTAAAGCAGTCAAACTCACAGAAACAGAAAGAGTGGGGCTCTCAGGACCTGAGGGAAGGGAACAAAGTGGCTTTGCTGTTTAGTGAGTATAGAGTTTCAGTTTCACAAGATGAAAAAGTTATAGAGATCTGTTGCACAACAATGTGAATACAGGGTGGGGCAAAAATAGGTTTACACTTGGGAGTGCATGTAACGGTTTATTCTTGTACTATTGTTTATTAATTATTGTATTATTTTCCACATGAACAGCTGTAAACCTACTCTTGCCCACCCCGGTACACTTAACACTACCAAACTGCACACTTAAAAATGGCTAAAATGGTAAATTTCATGTTATATGTTTTTTTACTACAATTTAAAATATTTTTTAAAATATCTGATTTCTTATTGTTGAAAATAAATCTTTCATTTATTCCTTTTTTGAAGTGTTAAAAACTAATTATGTAATATTATTGTATTCTGGTGCCCATATAAACAGGCCTAAACACCTTAAAAGTTTCTTAAGAAGAAACTTCATTTTTTCTGCTATTTGATAAAAGTGTGCACCAGTGAAAGAGCAGTGTTTTATATGGCACAGGGTGGACGACACCTTAACTGACAGACTTAAGAAAGCCTGTCTCACAGCTCCCTGAGATTCCTTTCTTTTCTTTCTTCCTTTCTTTCTCCTTTCCTTCTTTCCTTCCTCCATCCCTCCCTCCCTGCTTCCCTTCCTTCCTTTTTCTTTCCTTCTGTCTCTCTTTTCTGTAGGTTCAGAGCTTCATGCGAGGATGGTTGTGTAGAAGGAAATGGAAGACCATCGTGCAGGATTACATTTGTTCTCCTCACGCTGAAAGTATGAGGAAGAGAAACCAGATTGTGTTCACCATGGTGGAGGCCGAGTCGGAGTACGTGCACCAGCTCTACGTCCTGGTCAACGGCTTCCTCCGGCCCTTGCGAATGGCTGCCAGCTCCAAGAAGCCCCCCATCAGCCACGACGACGTCAGCAGTATTTTTCTCAACAGGTTTGTCTTGGCACAAATCAAAGAGTCATGTGAAAAACCCATTTGTATTTCTTAAAAAATTTTTTTACTCCACTCTTAAAAGAATAGGTTTCATAAAGTCACTTTTATGAGTTTGTGATATTGAAAATACAAAATCTATTATTTGTGTTTCATTTATTAGTCCAAATTTGCATATCTTGATTTTGAATTTTGACATGCAGTTTTCTGTTTTTCTTCCCTGTTTGACATATGTTTTCTTGTCATTGTGTGGGGTATGCATGCTTTGGAAAGACTATTTCCCTCCCTCCCTGAGGGAAGTGGAGTGATTAGCGGGTCCTTATCTGGAATTTATACAAAAGCACTTGAGGAAGAACAACAGCTCACAGAGGGCTTGAGACTCCCTAGTAAATTCATTCACTCAATAAATATTTATTGTGTCTTTACTGCTGTGGATTCGTGAGTGAACAAAGAATCCCTGCCTTCATGGAACTTAAATTTTGATGTAGGAAGACAGACAATGAATAGTGAATAAGTGAAATATGTAGTATATTATGTGGTGATGGGTTCTGTAGAAAAAAATAAAGCAGTGAAGGAGATAAGGCAGAAGGAGCGTGATTGGGTGTTTGACTTAACATTTTAGTTATTTGTTTTTGAGTAGATAGTACAAGCACAAAAGTCAAAACAACATGAAACGTCAAACAGCCATCAGAAGTCTCACTCTCACCCCTGCCTCTGCCTGCTCCGTCTCCCCACTTTCTGTGTGCAGCCATTTTAATCAGGTTCTGATAGATCCTTCCAGTGTTAATTGAGGTAGATGAAATAAAAAATGGATTCTGAGTCTTACTTTTCTCCATTTTGCACAAAAGGCAATGTACTTTAATATATATTTACTTTTTACACTTAAATTGATATATCCTGGGCATCCTCCCATGTTGATAGCTAAAGAAACTGCTGTTAAAAATTGCTACATTGTATTATTTTATGTGAATATGCCATAGGTTTTTAAAGTTTTTTTTTAAATAGCTAGTCTTCAGAAAGGCCTAAAAAGTAAGTTAACATTTGAAAAGAGACTTGAGTTGGTGAGGAAGTCAGGCATGGGGCTGGCTACCTGGGGGAAGAGTGGTGCAGACAGAGGGGCCTGCCTGTGCAAAGGGCCTGAGGCTGGAGCAGGCCTGGCTTGCTGGTTTGAGAAGCTGCCAAGGTCTCTGTGTGGAAGGGGGATGTTAGAGCATTAACAGTAGGACGTTGTAAGATCCTTTGCTTTTACTCTAAGTGAGATGGGGACACCTTAGTGGGGTTTTGAGAAGTCGCATGACATGGCACTGTCTTTTGAAAGGCTCACTCTGGCCTCTCTGGCGAGAATAGGCTGCAGGGAGATCAGTAAGCTAGGTCAGAGGTGGTTACAGCAAGGAGGCCTGGCAGGTGGCTATCGTGATAACACAACAAGAGAAGATTATAATGGAGAAAGTGATTAGTGATTGGATTCTGGGTACCTTTTTAACATAGAGATGGTAACATTTGTTGATGAGTTTGATGTGGATTTTGAGGGAAAACAAAAAGCAGGTAAGATTTCAAGGCTTTTGGCCTGAACAACTAGACATATGGAGCTGCTATTTACTAAATGGGGGGAGATTAAGGCAAGAACAGATATAAGGGAAAGATGAAGAGTTTTTATTTTGGAACTGTTGCATGTGAGATGCTATTTTCCATCCAAATGGAGAAATCAAGTGAGCAGGGATTGGATATTAGACTGGAGTTCAAGGTAAAGGTCCGGAATAGAAATATAAATCTGGGAATGCAATGACATATGGTTAGCAAGCTGTTAGTCTGAATGAGATTACCCAGGGAGTAGGTACAGATGAACGAGAAGAGAGGAACAAGGACTGAGCCCTGGGTCTTTCCAACACGTAGAGGTTAGGAAGAGGAAGAGGAGCTGTAGTGTGACAGTAGAGAGGATCCGTTAGAGTTGTAGGGTGAAAGACAGGAAAGCAGGTTGTCCTGAAAACCAAAGCAAGAGGAAGTGAACACTATGTCAACAGGTCAAATAAAATCATAACTGAGCCCTGGCTGGTATGGCCAGCCATTGAGCACTGGCCTGCGAACTGAAGGGTTGCTGCTTTGATTCCTGTTTAGGGCACATGCCTGGGTTGCGAGCCAGGTCCCTAGTTGGGAACATGAGAGAGGCAACCACAGATTGAATTTTATTTCCCTCTCTCCCTTTTTTCCCCTCTCTCTAAAAATAAACAAGTAAAATCTTTAAAAATATCATAACTGAGACCTGACTGTGGTTTTAATAAGTTGGAGCTTATTGGTAACCTCAATGGGGGATCAAAGCCAGAATAGAGAGGATGAGGAGATTGGAATTGGAGAGAATGGGTCTGGGAAACTCTTTTCAAAGGAGGGTTGCTATAAAAAGGAGCAGAGGAACACGGTAGTACCTGGAAGTAAATAAAAAGGTATAAAAAAATGTGTGCATGTGGTTTTAAGATAAGATCAAAACCTTGGAGGAGAGGACTTCACGGGCCCAAGATGCCAGGACAGTAGAATGTTATTTGCTTGCATGCTGAAGTCATGACAAGAATTACGACAAGAGTAGTGCTGTAGAAAAGGCCAACAGTGAGCTGGGAGCTGAGAGGGCAGGCTTGGGAGAGAGGCTGCAGTCTGCAGGTGACCGTGGAAAGGAGGGTGAGGAGAGGGAGTCTGATCATACGAGATTAAAAGCGAGGCTCTGCTGTTGTGAGGAAGGAGGGAGACTTCCCTGCATTGGACGGAATGACTCTACTCAAGGCTAAATTATTGTTTTCGCATTTTTTTGTAGTGAAACAATCATGTTTCTTCATGAAATATTTCATCAAGGACTGAAGGCGAGAATAGCAAACTGGCCTACTTTAATTTTAGGTAAGTGCATGCTTTAGTTTCTCTTAATATGGCTAAAATTAGAGTAAGATAATTTCAACATTATTTAGCTGAAGCTGTTGAAATTTCCCATTGTCCCGTGAGCAGTTTTAGCCACTGGGAATCTGCCTCACAGGCCTTTGGGCCCTGCCCTACTAGTTACCGTCCTCTGGCTTGTCGTGGTCATCTGGGACTACTGTCAGGCTCTGCCCTGGGTCACATTCTGTCAGACCAGTCATTCAGACATCTGACCTGGGTCCCTATGCGTGTGTGACCCCTGGTGCTGAGAGCCAGTCTCTGTCACTCCTAGTGAGTGGACACAGTCTCTCCCCTGCACCGTAGATAGTTTACTGAACACCAAAAGAAACTTCCATTTCCCTTCTTCTTTCAGCCGACCTGTTTGATATTTTGCTCCCCATGCTGAACATTTATCAAGAATTTGTGCGTAATCACCAGTACAGCCTCCAAGTGCTTGCCAATTGTAAGCAAAACAGAGATTTTGACAAACTCTTAAAACAGTATGAAGCCAACCCGGCCTGTGAAGGGAGGATGCTAGAAACGTTCTTGACCTATCCAATGTTTCAGGTAAGTCCTCTGGGATGCGTTTTGTAAGTCTTCTGGTTGCAGCTCAATGTCCCTGATGCCTGGTATGACCAGAAGGAGGTGTGCAAGGATCCCCTTGAAGAATTATAACACTTATGCATTACCTGTCATCTTGAGCTTAACCCTGAGATAAACAAATTCATGCCCCACGTTCTTTCTCTGTCTAGGATATGTAAGAAAACCAGAATTTTTTGAGAAAGTTGAATTAAAAATGACTTTTTTGAAAAGCAGCACAATTTTCTCTTTACAGAAAGATGCCTCACAGACCTCTGTCGTGAAGTCTCCTCCTTCAGCATGTTTAAAAATATTACTAGGGTTACAGAATAGGATGCTGTACAAATGTTCCAGTGTATGCTGGTTACATAAAATGTTCTTGAGAAGTGGAGTGGACTGCTGGGAAGGTCTTTGTTTTCCTGCTCACCCTCCCTACCCTGTTGTGATTGCTGTTGAGCCTGCCTTGGCTGGAGCTCTGGAGAGCAAAAGGAGGGCCTCTGCAGTCACGGAGGCCGGTGGAGACTTGGGAGCCAGAGGCACTGGCTGGACCGGGGCTCTTGGCCCCTCTCAGGATGCTGCAGGGAGGCTGGGGCTTGTCATGATGTTCATTTAATGGAATCAAAGCAACCCATGAGATCCATTACACATATTCTTTCCTATATCTAGGGCTCTAGCGTTCAGAGCTCTTGAGTGAGAATTGCAGAGACCAAAATATGAACTGAATTGCCTGTTCTCTTGAAAACTGTTGATTCTGTTCTTTTGAAAAGGCATCGAGCATTCTGACTGTGGAATTTGTGGGGCTTCTGGCCAGCCCTCCAAATTGTCACATGGTAAACCGAGTCTCAGAATCATGCATGTTAGGGTTTCTGTGGGGAGCTTTGTCCCCCATGAACGGGCACTGTTGACCCTGGTGGATCATTTTTTAGCCTCAGAAAGAAATGTTGCTCTGGTGGGTAATTGTTTGTCTTAAAGTTTGTTAATCCTGCTTGAAATCCTGGAAGTCACCATAGACATTTAGTATGTTTTTTAAAAACCAAAAGGATGCATTTAAAATAACTTAAGTATAGTGAAACTTTATAATGTTGTTGTGTGTGTGTGTGTGTTTAAATGGAATTGAATTGTTTGAACTCTTTGCCTCCCTGAGGAAATATTTCACAAGGAAAAATTCAATGCAAAAAAGTTTTCTTTTTTGGTAACCTTACACAAAATTGTAATTTAAGATTTATTTATCTACACATTTTGTATAGTGCAATGTTATTTTGAAATCCTATTTGACTATCTTTCGGTTACTTCTAGGTTATGATTAAAATTCCCTGAAGTGTATCTGTTCAGCAACCCCACTTGGGTGAACACACAAAGATAGATCGTGAAAGACACATGGAACATTCAGAGACGTGCCCATCCCCCTTTCCCACTGCCCATTGGTGTCTCTTCAGGTGCCATTCAATGTAGCTTTCTCAATGCCTTAAAATGGCGGGCTGCGCTTGCACTTTAGGTGACGTGTCCAAAAGTTGAATGTAAGGCCTTGGAAAGGTCTGTGGATTTCTTAAAAATGCTGTGATGCTCTTCCACCTTCCTTTCCTCCCTCCCCATGGAGTTTAAGCCCAATAACAATGACTTGGCATTTTGATTGATCCCCAAAACTTTCTATGATATCAGATGAGGACCATTGGACTGGAAATCTCTAGATCTGGATGTCTTGCTCACCCTTTAGTCATCGCATAGGGAAAGTAATCGAACCAATCTAAATATATGTTTGTAGATCTTGAGATCGAGGCAGCTGAGCTCTAGTTATCTCCTGACCACTAGCTCTCTGACTCTGTGACACTGTTCTCACTAGACTTGTTCTGGAAGGTTGGTTGGGTAACTATTTGGTGGTGTAAGAAGCCTGGTGTTAGTCTAGTTCCCCAACCCTCTCCCCCTGCCAAGACTGTGATGGTACCAAACCCTAAAATTTAACCAAAGGGTCAGATGTTGAGATTGTCTGGCTTCTTCCAGACCAGGGTAACCAAAAGCTTCAGCTTATAAGAGCCATTGCTCTGGGAGGAGCCTCAAACTTAAAGAATTTGGCCAGAATTGGTCCAACTGCAAGAAATGGGTAAATTGAAAGAGCACTGAATTGTGTTCTTTATTTGCTTCCCCATAACTATTTTGCTTCCCTATAAGGATTTTGAACAGACCCAGAGGGGAAATCATCAGTTTGCTCCCCAGGAGCTTCATTCTCGTTGGTGTCTCTGCTGTTTCTTTATTATTTGGTGTCTCTCCCTCCTGCTGTCTCTTTGGAGTGACATATGGAACATAAAGAAGCTCAAAGGTTGTTTATTACAAGGCCCATGTCCATTCTACCCTTCTTGTTCGCTTTGGTCCTTTAACCAATGAGGTAAAATAGTACTGAAGGCATTTTCTCTCTCAGATGGTGGAGGTACGTCTATTTCCCTCTGCGTCTGTATTAGCAGTGGTGCTGCTGCCTCGCTCTGGGGCAGGCTGGACACCTTGGGATGAGGGTGGGGCACTTTACTTTTTTTATTTAGTAAAGACAGTGGTTTGTCTGGGACTGTTTAAATTGGCCTCCGCTGTTCATAGATCCATAGGTAAGCTAGTCATGAAATCTGCTTCTGACAAGAACAGCAAGATAAGATGTTTTCCAGAAAGTAGCCACCTGTTTACTGTGATTGGAGAGCAAGCTCATTAATGTCTATACAGTGACAAATATTGGTCCATAATTGAAAGCAGAATTGTGATTCATCTAGATCAGTGATTTTTAACCAGTGCACCCCGAGAATTTTTAAGTGTGCCCCCAGAACATGCAATACTTGACTATTTAGTCAGGGGCACTGACCTCTTTTCCCTGAGATTTTCAAATAAAGAAAAGACAACAGCCAGCACAACAATAGTCATCTGGTGTAAGTGAATCAAAATCACACCTATTTTTTTGTCAAAGCAGCAAAAATTAATATTTTTGTGGTGTGCTGCAGAATTTTAGTCATTAGTATGGGTGTGCTGTGAGATGGGAAAGGTTGAAAATCGCTGGTTTAGACAGCACTTTCTACGATTCTTGGGTTTTGGAGGGACGGATTTATAGTCAGCTCTTGAATATACAGATGAGTTCTTTGCAGAGCCATTTTTTGGCTGTTTCAGGCTTGTCTGTTCCTCCACTAGAAAGTGGAAAGGGCCAGTTACTCAATTTCAAATCTACCCTCTTCAGTCCTAGCCGAGGTGCTCTCTAAAATGGATTGAATTCAGCGGGAAGGATCATGAAGCTATTGACTACACTTAGTTTTGTGAGTTTTCTGTGTATTGTAAGTAGTCAGGCTCTCTCACTCCTACCCTCTTTGTTGTGAAAAATTGAATACTTTAGCTAGCGATTGCCTTGGTTTTCTTGTAGAACTACTGACCTAGAGGCAGACTGTTATCAATTATGGGATGACGCAAAAGGGATATATGAGAGCATACTTGTCCCAGGAGCCTTTACCAAGTGGGACAGCCCTGCAGGCTGTCTTAGTGAGAAGTTTACAGGATGGAGAGGCAGAAAGCGTTTGAGTGGAAGGGTCTCCTGTTCTCTGCCCTCCTATGACCAGGGAGTCTGTACACACTGCCGAACCCTAGACCTGATGATATTCCCTAGGATGTGATCCCAGAGTAGAAAGTGCAGATTGATGTCTGCCCTGATGGCGCTGCCCTCTGTGCTTTGCACATAAATGTGAGCACCCAGTAATATTAGGAGATACCCAATGATGGCCACCACATGCAAGAGAGCAAAAGCAAGTCTGTGGATAGAGCCGTCAGCACCTCAGGTCAGAATGCAAGATGCTACCCAGAGGGCCCTGGGAAGCTGTTATACTGGGCTAGTGCACGGTCAGAGCTGGGCTCCTGCCTGGCTCTGCCATTTACTATGAGGCCCCCTTGGGCAAATTACCAAATTTTTCCACACTTTGTTTCCTTGGTCTGTAAAATGGATATGAACCCGTATGTTAGAGGATTGGATGCATATGCAAACCTCGAGCACCTGATTGACCGCAGTGAGCCATGTTATGGTAGCTATTGTTCATGTATGTTATTAAAATTAAACCCACTGCCCCTGCTCCCCCAAAAATTTATTTTCTAAGCCAGTAAAAAAAAATAAATATGTTGAGTCACTGTAACTTGAGTTATATCTCTAGTCTATTAAAACCTTCATAGGGTTGATAGAGTTTCTGCCTTTGACATAACTAGAGAGTCTGTTTATAAATGACAGTACAAGTAAATCTAATTAAATAATACTTTTTATTGCCTGAAGGATGAATTGAGGTAAAGGAGGATCAGAATGTCACAAGGGTGAATATATCTTCATCTTAAGTTTTAAATCTTAAAGAAACATTGCAGTAAGATTGTCAATTTTTAAAAAAAATTTAAACAGGCAAATAAATATAAAATACAGCCTCAAGTGACATGATAGTTAAATCTGTTTCCCTATGAATGAATTTTCAAAAATTATGATTAAGAAATGTGGGATTATATTAAAAAATCTAAAGAGACAATTGTTTCTTTGCAACATCATTTATTACTCTTTCCCTCTGTTCCTGGGAAAGCGTGTGTGTGTGTGTGTGTGTGTGTGTGTGTGTGTGTGTGTGTGTATAGTTCAAAGCACAGTTCACTTTAAATGTTTTAAAATATATTTGTTAAAAATATGTTTTTCAAACAACTAAAACTGTAAGAGCAGAGACGAACTTCCTGTACGTGGTGCTCGCCTGTACGGGAAAGTGCCCCGGCGCTGCTCACCCTCCCCGCTTGCTCACGCTGGCCTCTGTTTGCATTTAGATCCCCAGGTACATCATCACACTTCATGAACTCCTAGCTCACACACCCCATGAGCACGTGGAGAGGAAAAGTCTGGAGTTTGCTAAATCAAAACTAGAGGAACTGTCCAGGTATGCAGAGAACGTACAGTGAAGGCCTGTATGGGAAAGCAGTGAGTCAGTGTTCTGTGGAACCCTAACTGTATGTCCAGGGAGCAAGAAGCAAGATGCAATCCAGCTTCTCAGAAAGTTGGATGATACCTCTTGAGATCAGGTCTACTTTGGTTTAAGTTTGAGAGTGTTCACATTTCTTTCAGTATAATAGAAAAAAAATGAGTTTCTGTTGCATTTTTGTATTCATATTGGTCAGGAAGCTGGAGAGGTATATCTTGGATTTATCAGTAGCATTTCAGTGTTCCAGACAGTTATTTATATCTGTTCCTTTAGCTTGTACAGGATAAATGTACAAAGGTCTCTAATTTTCTCTGCCTCTGAGAAATGGCACCCTAATGGTGGTCTTCACTGAAAGCCTTTCGTGAGATGTGTTGCTGTCCTGCTGCACTTACCCGCAGCGGTTCCAGGGCACTCACTGATCCCCGACCCGCTCCTCATGCAGAGTCATCACGCACATTGGCCTTGCTTTGGGTCGAGGCTTGCTGAAGCCTGGACATCCAGTGGAAGCCTCACAGTCCCAGTTCCAATGATACAAGTTCCCAGGTGGAGCTCATGTTCACTTTCCTGCTAAGGCAATGCAAAACTTTTCTGACAGTGATCCTCTCTGTGTGGTGTCTGACAGGGTGATGCACGACGAAGTGAGTGACACTGAAAACATAAGGAAAAACCTTGCCATTGAAAGAATGATCGTAGAGGGCTGTGATATTTTGCTGGACACCAGCCAGACTTTCATCCGCCAAGGTAAGTCCTTATGCGGTGGACCCACCATCTAGGTGATCTCTGCTTTTGTCCCATTATCCCTGGCAGACCCAGGAAAGCATTTTGGAGCAGGCTTGAGTTAGAGGTTTGATGAATGTGGTTTGTGCAGAATACCCCCATGGCCTTGACCGAGGCTGTGGTTGAAGCCCACCTTTGCGCCGTTTCTTTTTAGGGACCACGAAAAACAGCAGCACAATAATAGTAAGGCACGGGTGGCACAGTGAGTTATATCTGACTGCACTGTCCTCTTTGGAGCGCACATTCTCTGTGGCTCCCATGGGGACAGGTGGGTCGGCCCATTGGAGTGTCAGTGCCGGGTGGTGACAACAGCCAGGCACAGGCCCAGGAGAAACTCGCATTACTTACATCCCTTTCCTATGGCAGTGGGGACAATGGCTGAGGTAGAAATAGCTGTCTCTTGTTCCCATTTTTCATCAGCAGTTCTGGAGGCCCCACATGATGTGGTTTGATTCAACCCGTAGCTCCAGTTACCATCAACTGTCACGCGTGACCCCTGCCCCACTTCAGTGATGGCGAAGGCATCTTGTTTGTGGGGTGTGCTTTGGTGGGCTCTTTCAGTAAATTAAGCTTTTGAAGAGTTAAAGATATTTGTGCTGGAAACCGTGGAGACAGAACAGCTTAACAGTGCATATTCCTCCGTAGCTCTCATTCCAAAGTGCAAAAATTAAACTGTACCCCAAACTCTGTTTAAATGCTTAGGTGTTCCAAGGGTGGGGAGTATGTTCCTTGAGATTGATTTGAGACAGTATAGTATACACATTTATAATTTTGAATTTGGTGAGGATTGGCACATACGTTTGGGACTAACCTTTAATGTAGTTTATATTGTGCCAATATTATTTGAAGACAATTTGCATTTCCATTGCATACCAAAATGTGCTGCTTAAAATACTTTTTTACCTCATCAAACCAGACATAATTTATGCTGTGCACATTAATTTTTGCATAGAATACTTTGGAAATTTAACACATGCAATTCTGCTTTCTATTTATTTACAAAGAGAGAAATCACACATATGTTAAAGTTTGAGAGTATATATTAGGAAATGGTACCTTTTTTCATTTTTGGCTTTCACGATCAATTAAAAAATAATAATGCAGTACAGTGCTAACAATGTCAGACCTTCTTAGGTCTGATGCATGTCAGACCTAAGGTCATCAGACCTTAGGTCTGATGACGTGCTTAGGAGCACGTCAGACCTGTGCTCCTCTGCACAGACTGCATGCCCACACTGGCTCCCTCCTTCCCGGCACTTGCCTGCCCCCCTCTGTGCCTTTCCGTGTGTTGTCCTCCAGCCTGAGGGCTGGAATGCCCTTCTCCATCTCTTCTGTGCCTCTTAAAGGCCTGCTTGTCCTTCCCAGCTCAGGTCACACACCTCTAAGAAAGCTTTTTAAAATTTCCCCCTCATCTTCCCGTCCCCTCCCCTGTTGTTAGGATGAATTTACCTTCCTCCTCATTTCCAAGACTCCTGGCTCCTGGTGCATGTATTTCACCCCCTTGTGTATTATAGGTACATGTTTGCATGCCTATCTGTCTCAGGAATTATACCTCTGAAGGGCAATGCTTCTGACATCTCTCTTGCCTGGTGTGCTGTTTTCCATGATAGATACCTTGGAAGATGGGCATTGGATTCAATTGAATTGCTTATTGTTGAAGTGCAGTTTGGGTTGTAGGGTGTCTTATTTTGTATTATTCTTGTTGTTTAGAGTTTACTGAAAAATACTTACTACTTGACTTGAGCTTTATAATATGTGAGAATGGAAACAAAATTTTCTATCGCTAGTATTTAATTTCAGAAAGAACTTTTGATTGAAAAGGATGACTATACATAAACATTTCATATATTTCTACAGACTGTTTTGATCTAAGTTTATAAAAACATCTGTAATGAAAAATGCCTGAAGTTTGAATATATTGAATAAGTCATATTTCTTTTCATCATACCTGGAGGAAAATCAACCATGAGCCACTGCTCCCTTTGATTCAAGTCCAGATGTTATTTATTGCTTGTTCTATGTCATATGTTTAAGGCACTCCTGTTAGCTATTCATATAGCTGATGTTATTATTGTATTGATGTTGATGCAATGATTTGCCTTTCAGCAGAATTTTTCTGTATTCTTTGGTTTGGTTAGTCTGTTTAGGAATTATTAAATAACAGTGGTTTAAAAAATGAGACTTTAGTATGAAAGTAAAAAGTAATTGAATTACAGACAGTTTGGAAAGTTTGCATTGTTTTGCTTTGATTGCTTGTTGCTACTCTTACTAAATATCCTTAACAGGCTTTAGAACCCCTGGAGGTGTGTTTTTTATTAAACTCTTAAACTTTTAGGGATTCTATTTTCTATGAAATGGACTACAATTTGTCTCTAATTGTGCTGCTTACTGTTAGTGGTGACATGAGGTGTGTTTCAATGTGTGGTGTGCATGAAACACATGTACATGGTTTCAATCTTAAATGAATTTTTATTCTGAGCAGTAGAAAAATAAGTCATCCAGGTTTTCTGAAAGGTCTCTTCAGAAGAGCGACATCAGCTAATCTTAAATGTCAGTCCATGGGAATTTAGTAGTTGAAATAAAAGAAGTTTTATTATACATTGATTCCAGTTATTAGATAGTTGATGAGTAGGATGCAAAGGACTGTGTATCACAGTGGTCTGATATTGTCATTTATTGTCCAACATCTATTCAAAGTTTGTTGAACAAATAAATTTGTAAGTGTCTGAGGCAAAAATAGGAAGACAGCATATTCGTGTCACCAAAAGTCAAATGCTGTCTCCTCCACTTTTTTGCTGTGATATTGGGCAATTTAATTAACCTATCTTTGCATCAGTCATGTCTTCTTAAGCTGTAGAACCTATATTTTAGGGTTGTTGTGAAGATTTAAGGAGCTAATAATGCTCACAGGAACATGTAGGTTAGTGCCTGTGAGATTATGACATGAACTTGAAAAACCAAGATCCAAATTTTGGAATGAGTTTCTATTTTCAATACCATAAAATATATATAAAGTTTAGTAGGAGATGAAGGCACTCTAAATTGACATTTTGCACAGAACCCATTATGTGTAGTCAACATTGTCTTGTGAAAATATGAATCAAGGAAATTAAGTAAAGCCAACTGGATTCAGAGTGAAATGCACTGAGAATGAGTCATGGACCTCTCTAGTACCTTAATCATTCCCACATACAAAATGATGGACTTTCAATGTACCAGTGCTCTTTGAAATTGTAATATGGGGTCTAGCAATATTTATACCTTCTCAAATGCCTAACCCAATACCTGGAAATTGCTCTTCATTCTTTTTCACTACTAGTGGAATTAAGAGTAATGGTATTATCATCAAAGAGACAAGAGGTAGCAAATTCTGGTGTGGAAGTGGAGAAAAGGGAACACTTGTGCACTATTGGTGGGAATGTAAATTGGTGCAGCCACTATGGAAAACAGTGTGGAGGTTCCTCAGAAAAATACAAATAGAACTGCCCTATGATCCAGCAATTTCACTTCTGGAAATATATCCAAGGAAAACAGAAACACTAACTGAAAAAATATCCACACCCTCATGTTCATAGCAGCATTATTTATGATAGCCAAGACAGGGAAACAACCCAAATGCTCACTGATGATGAATGGATAAAGATGTTGTGATATGTACACACACACAATGGGGTATTATTCAGCCATAAAAAAAAAACAAGAAGGAAATACTATCATGTTTTGACAACATGGATGGACCATAGGGCATTATACTAATGAAACTAGTAAGACAGAAATTCAGAAAGACAGAAAGACAAATATTGTGTGTGGAATTTAGAAAACAAAACCAAACAAAAAACTGTGAACTCATAGGAAAAAAGATCAGATTTGTGGTTATCAGAGGTGGAGGGTGTGTGGGGGAGGGGACATGGGAGGAAGGTGGTCAAAGGCACACACTTCCAGGTGTAAGGGAAGTACTAAGGATGTAATGTGTGGCATGAGGGCTGTAGTTAACACTGCCGTATGGTATGTAGGGAAGTTTTTTAGGAGATTAATCCTAAGAGTTCCCATCACAAGGTGCTTTTTTAAAGTTTTTTTTTTTTATTGTTTCTATATGATGGATGCTAACTAACCTTATTGTGGTAGTCATTTCACAATATGTGCAAATCCAACCATTGTGCTGCATGCCTTAAACTTACACAATGATGCACGTTAATTATTTCTCAATAAAACTGGGGTAAAAAAAATAAGAACATTAGCCAGTCCTGAATGCCACTCTATGGGATTTTGGTCATTTAAATAATGTGTTTTGTTGCAAGTTGACTCCAATTATTGGGCAGAAATGACAGAGATGCAAAGACCATATCCTAGTAATGGTCTGCTACTGAGGAATTACTAATTTAATATTAATTATTTCTCTATTTGCATTGACTAGAGAGGGTTTTTTAACTGTCATGGTTGTGTTGAAACATCATGTCAAATATAAGATAGAATGTGAAAAATCCACTTAACATGTTTTTTCAATATAATTATTTTATAAACCAAACAATAGTGTTGAAATCGCTCACTTTTAACTGAGCTGTATATGTTTTTGTAAATACCTAAAACGCGCAGTTTCCTAGTTGGATATGAGGTTAACAGTTATAGATCAAGCAAATTAGTGTGTAGTTGCCAAGGAAACATTTATTTTTTAACCTCAAAGCTGAAATTTACAGTAATTGCTAATACATGAGTTAACAGTGTATTCTATAATTTCTGATTTATGAACTAATTAAATGCTAGAAGCATTTACCAATGAGTATATTGTTATTGAGTTTTCATAGCCTTGGTGATATTCTTTCTGAAAATGTCTCCCAAGCCCACTTGTCCACCAAGGTACCTGCCTACGCCTCTGTCGTTCACTCTGCCCTAACTGACCCACGACCACCCATGGTGAAGCTCCCTTTTCAGGTTTCAGTTTTTATGATGCTGAATCCACTGCCATCTCTTGGCCATGCTGCTGTGAGATGCTAAAAACTGAGAGCTGTTTAGCTTCTCAGGCCTCAATCTCCCCTTCTGTAAAATGAGAGGGTGACCCAGGTGCTCTGAAAAATCCCCTCTGGCTTTGATTCCACCCCATGAGTCCCATGGGTACAATCCTTCTGCTGCTATTACTTCTTCATTGACTTCTCTAAGGGTTTTGCTTTGAGCTTTCCTTCTCCCTTCTTCACTCTTCAAATTTAATTACTTGCTGCTTGCATTCTCTGCCAGCTTGCTCCCACCTTCCTCACCTCCCTCATTCACTCTGTGCTTGCCTGCTCCCTTCAGCAGACTCAAGGCTTCGCCCCCACCTCCATTCCCAGTCCCACGCCCTGCCCAGGACTGTTTCCATGTTTTTCTTGAGGCCCCAATAGCTGCCTCTCTCTCTCTGTCAAGGAGCCCACCTAACACTCATCTGAACAGATGGAGTCTGGACATGGCAGCTTTGAGCCCTTTACCACCCTTCACACCTTTAGATCTTCCTTACAAAGTAGATGCCTTTTGGAATATCCATGTTAATGCGAACATTTAGTGAATCATGGTTTTACAATTTTGTGTCTATAACACTGCTCCCACCCCTGCTCCCCCCCCACCCCCCCGCCACCGCCCACTTTAATTTGTGCTCATTACAAAAAAAGAGTCAGGGAGCCCGGAAAATGTATGAAGGGGAAAACAGGTTGCCTGCAATCTCACCTCTCAGAGATGACCACCGCTTACATTTAAGGGTTTGATATGCACCGAATGGTGTTCAAGAGGCTGACCTGAGCCTTTCTTTCTAAGGCTGCGTTTGGGGGAGATGGTAGAGTTTAACCAACAGTGGAAGTAATACTGGCTCAGACCATTTCAGAAATCAGAGGCAAGGTATTTGCATGAATCTTAGTACTTTTGTGTTTGATGCTTAACTTAGATTGGAACTTTATTTTGGGGAGAGGGAGGTCATTGTTAGGGTGAAATTATATGAAGTTTATGCAGAGCTTCTCACATGGAAGGGAAGACAGTTTTGATCACAGGAATGTCCTGGGTATAGATTACATGTGGTTTCTTTTCCATTTAGATTCCAGAAAGAATTTTTATCACACATAATTTAAATGTAAACTGAAATAGCTGTTTTTTAAAAATAGTTCTTAACTAGATTGTGCTGAGTTATATAATTCATATATTTTTATAATATAATGTATTGTATATTCTATTTTTCAAATACAAAGTAAACTCTATTAATAAGCTATTTAAAATGAAAATAATGAGAGGAACTAAGAAGGTGAAATGGGGTAAGAGAAGGGAGGGGCAAAATATGTGAATTGAAATAAACTATAGTATAAAATCTAGTGACTCAGTATGCACAAAATAGATGAACCAGAGACATGGACATAAAGAACAAACTGACAGTAACCAGAGGGGACAGGGGAGGGGGATAATGGGGGAAAGAAGGGGAAGGGCCATCGAGGAACATGTATAAAGGACCCATGGACAAGCCAGTGAGGTGTGGGGGGGAGTGAGTGTGGGAGGTGGTGGTGGGTAGGGCAGGAGAGAGTAATGGGGGAAAATGGGGACAACTGTAATTGAACAACAATAAAAAAGAGGGAAAGGGGAAAAATTTTAAAAGGAAAATAAAATTATTTATATTAAAAATTAGCTATTTATCTTCCTTCGGTGCTTCAGGAAGAATTAATTCTAGTATTTGCTTTTTATTGTGTTATTTTATTACCATATGTGATTATACAATATGTACCCTATTGTTAGATTAATAAGTTCATTAAGATCAAATCACCAAGGACAGATGGAAGATGTGCCTCCTCTGAATCCAATTTGGCTTCCTTTCCAACTTATTTTCCAGATTAGAGATGAATAATCAATTCTAAAGCATTTTATAAAAATATTAGGAATTAGTGTGACTCTTAAAATACAATGTACTGATTCTTCTGCTCAGAGTGTAGGGGGTTGATTTGTTCCAATGGTGCATTCGATGAATCTTTGGTGTTTATTGTATCAGGAAGGGCTGTCACTTCGTAGAGTTTTTTAATTGCTGTGTATTCTTCACTTTTGTGATCACCAGGTTCTCTTATTCAAGTACCTTCTGTTGAGAAGGGGAAACTTAGTAAAGTTCGCCTGGGTTCATTGTCTTTAAAAAAGGAAGGAGAAAGACAGTGCTTCTTATTTACAAAACACTTCTTAATTTGTACAAGGAGTTCAGGAGGAAAGCTGCATCTGCTCAAGGTACTGGTTTTACATGACTATTCCATTTATGTTTCATGCATTTAAGTGGCATTCAGGTTAATGTAATTATGACTTTCCCATGAGTGGTTTCATAAAATATCATCACAATTGCACAGTGAGGTAGTGTACAGGTACCAACCTTGACATTTACTTTGTTGTCATGTGGCTTTAAAGAAATAGAAATTTAAATGTGCATTACAGTTAGGCAGTGCAATTAGAATCATAACCTGAACAAAATTACTACTAGTTGATGACTATTGAGCTACAACAATCTTGTCAAATTACTACAGTGCCTATTTTTGTAAAAAAAAAAAAAAAATAAAGTTTTATTGAAATGTAGCTGTGGTCATTTGTTTATATTTTATGTGTGGCTGCTCTCATCTGCTTTATAAAATGGCAGATTTGAGTAGTTGCAGTAGAAATCACATGGCATGCAAAGCCTCACAGGTTTCCTATCTGGCCCTTGACAGAAAAGATCTGCCTTTCTATACCTTCTGTTATTAGTGCCTGGACATATTGTCCAGCACCGTGATAGTGGCTTCTTACTGCCTCACCTGCTTCGTGGTTGGGGAGTTCAGCCTTTGCTGAGCTGCATCCCTTCTCAAGGGCCCCTGAGGGGCCATCTAGTCTCCTGTAGACTGACTTGCTAAATTTAATAAACATCAGGAGTGAGAGTGGGTTGGGGAGAAGAATCATGAAGTTAAATGAGTTTAATTACTTTTATACATGTAAATTTAATTTTGGATTCTATAAAATTATTTGTGATGTAGAATTACTATGCTTTCTTCTGTGGCAAGGACTGTTTGCAAATCAGAGCTTCCCAACCTTTGCAAGATTCTCAGGCTCCTAATGAAACATTGGCTTCTTTCCAGACAGGTGGGGTTCTCTCACTAATAGAATGCACCTTGATTGAGGAGCCTGATGCAAGCGATGATGACTGTAAGTTAGAATCCATCACTTAGAATTATATTAGAATTAAAAAGTCCTATGATTTTTGTTTGTTTATAGCTAAGAAGAGTTGCGTAAGGAGGCAGTAGAGATGCTGAGAATAAACTCCCTGAAGTCATTTGTGTATGAAAAATTCTGTTGAACCATCTAACCTCTAAACCTTGTTAAACTGTCATTGGGAATTCACATTTTACTGAATTTGTCTCATGACAGTGACTTTCAGTGTCAGGCACAGAAGAAAAGAATTAAATTAGAACTCTGTAGATTATGGAAATTAAAAAAAAAAACAACAAAATAAAACAGATCATGAAATGAAAGGGAGACCAGGATCATAATCCTAAGTAACCTACTGACCTCAGCTTTTTTATGTGCTTCTGAGCTTAAGCCTCCCCCATGCTGGAGAAGTACCACATTGCTAAAACGAGATTCTGGACTTGAACACTGATGGCATTACTATAACTACGTGAAAGCAGCTGTTACTCACAGTGTTGTATTCACATCTAATTGTTTGGTTTATGTGTATTGAAGCCAAAGGTTCCGGGCAAGTGTTTGGACACCTGGACTTTAAGATAGCGGTGGAGCCTCCGGACGCTGCCCCTTTCACTGTGGTCTTGTTGGCGCCTTCACGGCAGGAGAAAGCTGCTTGGACAAGCGACATAAGTCAAGTAAGCAAGTGGCTTTTGATGTAGCTTTTTTTTTTTTAATTTCATGACATTAACTTTCAAGGAGGATTTTTAGAGTTGATCTATTCTTATCAAAAAATTACATCTGGTTGCTGTATATTACCACTATGTATCTTGATGGCTGGAATCACTTGTGTTTTGTGTGTTTTCTTTTTATATTTAAAATTTACACGAAATGTAGTAATTGCATTTTCCTCCTGGGCATCTCGTACAATTTTTAAATGTAATCACTGGTGTTGAATGGTGTTAAAATATCCCTGTTAATAATAAATTCTCCAATGACTTCAGTGGATTTCTTTTTTTTTTTGCTTATTTGTTCCTGAGGTAGGACAATGGTGAGAGATACAAAAACTACTAACAGGGGCAGGGCTCTGGGGAGAAACCACAAAGGAAGGAATCACACAAAGAGAAGATACTATCTGTACTATGAAATCCAAAAATGAGCTGCTGTATTTCATATGGAAAAAAATAGGAAACAAATTTGCTTATTTTTCCTTGGTCAGCAATGTCCAGTTAGAGCATTGTTGCATTTATTCAGGATTTGGAATATGTCAAAATTAGTCACAATTGGACTTGGGTGTTTTAAAGTCCAAGCTGTATGTTACTTTTGGCTCCATTAACCAATATAGGAGGAAAATGTTTGTGTGAGGAAAGTATTAAAAGAAAATTTGATAATTATCTTCAAAGTTGTTACCTCAAGGAAGATGAAGCAAACAGAAGAGGCTGTATTATAGATTCTATTGTCTATTTTTTTCTGAAGAGCTAATAGTTATTTATATATAAGATTTTAGGTAAAAATCTGAACTATATAATAGTTCTTTAGATATTTAATTTTTTTCTGAGTGACTGAAAACTGTGGGAAAGTAGAAAGAGAATAAATGTCAAAAATAATTATTTTTGTATGTCAAAGAAATTTTTCAGACTTAGTCTCATTTGCCCTTTATAATGGTGTTCTGAAAGTAAACAGAAATATTAGTTCCATTTCACAGGTTTGGAGGCTAAATGTTTGTCCAAAGTTACATAATTGTGTTGAATCAGGATCAGATCTAATCCAGGTCTTTTATTAGTACTCTAAACATTCTTTACAGGATTTTTGCTTATATACACCCACAACTACTTTGATGGTGAACAAATAGCTTAGAGTGAAGATACTTCTGTTCTGGCTAACAAAGGAGCGAAAATGTGGGTTCCCCCATATTTGCATAATTACATCCTTATGGTGATTTATGAATGCTTTCATTAACTCTATGAAAGCATTAATTCATGACTGTATGAATTAGTACTTTAGTTTTTATTTGTAATGCCTGTCTGACCTTATGAAACTCCGAATCATTCACTGATGCTGTGAATGTGGATTGACCAATCACCATGCGTTGCTGGGTACTGGGTAGGTACCAGGAACCGGGCAATGGTTTCTGATTTCAACAGGTGGGCTATTAGGGATAGAAAAGGAAGTAGACAATTTAGTGCAACAAAAGTTTGTAAGTGTTGTGAAGCCAAGATAAGTAGGAAGATTGGGGAGAATAGCAGTTGGCAAAGGTGTTTTCCTAGCTGCTTCTAACTTCTACCTTATGTACCTGGGGCTTGATACGAGCTTTAAGTGACCTTCCTTAGAGTGTCTGGTGAGGCATTGTTAGGAAAGAAAGACCCTTGGGGTGCATGGATGAGTCTAGGCCTGGTCCTTTACAGATAGGTACCCAACACTTTGCCTGCCACAAGCATCCCAGTGCGAGACTGTTACTTAGACTACATCTTGTGACAGAAGCATGCAGCTTCCTCCTGTTTCTCCAGTGTGCTATGGCTAGTTTGTTAAAGTGCATTAGAATATTTCTGGAATTGAATTGGAGAAGGACATTAACAGGAAGTTATATCTTTTGGAGGGATGATGGTATCATTAAATGACATTACTATGTTCAGTAGAGCCTTGATATTGTGTGACTTCGACACTTATGATTTCACTGATTCAACAAATCGAGTTATGCAGTGATGCTACATACTAGCCAATGACAACAAAAAGTTCCTTTGTCTGGTGTAGCTTACATTCTAGTGTCGGGAAGATGGAAAATGAACAGTAAACATAATAAATAAGGACACACTATTTTATGTTAGAGCATGATCAGGCAGGATAAAAAGGTGATTGGGCTATTGGTAGGTAGCTTACCCAAAAAGGTAGGTATGTGTGGATCAGTACAGTTTCTCAGAGGTAGTCATCTGGTTCTGGAGAAGACATCTAAACAACTGTAGCATGTGATGGAGATAACAGGCAGATATATGGTGAAGGGTAAGTCGTTCCACACAGAGGGAACAGCCATTTTAAAACCCTACAGCAGAAGGACACTGAATATTTCGAGTACTAGCATGAAGGTCACTGTGGCTGAAGTGGAACATGAGAGAGGGAAAAGAGATAAAGAGTAAGTCATTTAAGCGGAGTTGTTAAAGAAGCAGGGGATACAGGAGTTCAGTGTTTAGGTCCAGGCAGGAGACTCTATGCCATTTAGGTGATATCTCAGGCTATGAAGCTGTTGAGATCACCCAGGGAGCAGCCGTAGATAGAAATGAGAAGAGGTCCATGGCCTGAGTGAGGGGTCAGGGAAAACAGCAAAGAGGGCTAAGAAGGAACCAACAGTGCAGTCGGAGGATAGCTATGGGGCATGGTGTCCTGGGAGTCAATGGAAGAAAATGTATCAAGGAGGAGGGATGGTCAGGTGTCAACTGCTACTAATGGCTGATAAGGTGGCGAGTGTTGTGAGATACTTACTGATTTTCCTGATGTGGGGTTTGAATGGTGGGTGGGAAGGAGGGAGTGCTCCCCTAGTGATGGAGCCTAGCCTGCTGCCCACATCCTGCATCTCAGCTGGCTTTGTTCTCTGCTTAAAGCATTTTCATTTTATCAGAGAAGTTATGTGCTCTTTATATACCGACGGAATTTGTCAGCCTCCCAAGTATGTCTCTGGACATATTCATTATTAATGAGTTGCACCTACTGAATGCTTAAAAATGTACTGTTTAATATTTTATAATATATATGTAAAAATATGGACACAAAAAAGGAACAAAAAATTACTCCCAACACCCAGCACACTAAATAAATGTTTGTCAAAGCATTTTCTGCAGATAACTATGTTAGAATTACCTGAGGGTTTTCAAAAATGCAGGTTCCTGAACCCACATTCCAGACACGCCCAGGTTTTAACAAGCTCCACAGATGACTTTTGTACAATTAAATCAGCGAAGCTCTGCCCTGCAGAGCAGCTGCTTCCATCTCTGAATCCTCCACAGTCCTGCCACAGAGGGATAATTTTACAGCGTGACTCTCAGTGTGTGTGTGCCATTTTTGCTTTTTACCTCATATACATCTTTCCATATATCTGTAAATTCTTCATATTAGTGTCTTCTAATCTGTATTAGTATATATATATATATTCATATATTAGGATATATATATTTACCTGTATATATTCTACCACACTAACGTACCATTTTACTAGCTTTTTCCAACTACTAGGCATCTGATATAGGCAGTTTCCTAGTTTTAGCATTAATATATGCTGTGGTGCTAAACATCTTTGTGCCAGGAGTTTCTTCCCTTTCGAGGTCCCTGGCTGGTGCAGCTTCGGCACAGCAGGCGAGGCTGGTACAGAGGGTCTGATTGCTTGCATGATTTCATAATTCATGACTCGGCAGACGGCCTCCACACTTCAGGAAACACATAACTCCTCTTCACTACGTTACCGGCAGGGTGTCTGTGCAGCTCTCTCTTAAGTCACGTCAAAGTTGAGTTTTGCCACATTTATCAGATTTTCCTATTTAATAGAAAACTGATATTATTTTCTAGTGGTTTTAGTATACTTCTGTAATTATCAATGAGATTACCATTTTACACTATTTCTGTTTCTTGTCAGTTCGTGCCAGATGGAGATTTATTCATTTTAGTTATCCACAGACCAGGGAAATGAACATTTTCTTGTGATTCCTAGTACGAATGTGTTTGCTGTTATTTTGCCTTTTATTCTTCATTCTTTATTTTGCTAAATCTTAATATTTGACACCACCTTGCTGAACTACTGTGTTACAGTAATCACACATGGCTATTATTTAAGATAAAAAAGTGGCTCTTGAGTATTGACACAATCCCAGTTTCACATAAAGCAGTCTGTACAAAAATTAAAACTCTTGGCTAAGCCAGGCCTCTGTCTCTGAGGCTGTAATTTTCAGAAGTTACAATTGCTTGAGTGATTAATTACACTGTTAGTTACACCAGTGAGGCCATTATTAACTGTTGGCGCCTCCAACAAAATGGGCAAGTGGCTAATGGTCTTGAGCAATAATTCTTCCTTTTTCCATCTATTTATAGGAAAAAATTGAGGCTGCAGATCTGACCATTCATTTCGATACGGTGCATTCATTTGTGCTTGTCTTACTGTCATACAATAATGGTGTATACAACACACTTTTCTGTAATTATGGGTATTAACCAAAATGCAGGATTAAAATTCACCTCTGAGCTTCTTGATTTGGACAGAAGTGTCAAAATATAGACCTGTATAGACAAATTTATAGCATGCTGACTTGCTCTCTTCCTTAAAATAGCTTTTCTGGAGTCAATAGGGAATTTTCTATTTTAACAAAAAGGTGTATTAAAAGAAAAAAGTTGCATCTACCCTTTCTTTCTACTACCTAGATATGCTAAGAAGGTAAAAAATATGGTGACATAGTAGACCATTGACCTTTTTGAATAGCTATTGCCTGAAGCAAAACCCTCAAAAAACCCTGCTGGAGAAGTCATTCTCAACACTTGACACGGACCAGCTGTGTGGGAATTACCTGGGGCTTTTGTGAATGTACATCGGCCCAGGTGCTGCCCTAGTCACAGTCATCACCACCGAACCGGAATAGCCGCGGCCCAGAACCCACTTCTGTTACCCTAGGAATTTTAAGGTTTACTATTGTTCACATAAATTCAATGTTACCCTTAAAGATATGTGACACCTTGCTTATTGCCATGTTTTTCTTGCATAAGTGATCTGAATTTATTTTTCCAGAGCTCAAACTGTTCTCCCCAACACCACCAAGCTACATGGTTGTATGAGAATAAATATTTACCACTCCTTCCCGTATAAATATTCATACGCACATTCATATAAAGGTATCCCTGCTTTTCTAAAGGTCATATTACATCACTTTGCTTTTACAAAAGACCCATGTTATTTCCTGATGTTGTAAGGAAGTGAATTGAAGTGGACTTCAAAATATTTCATTTCGTTTCCAGAGTTGGGATCCTCTATACTTGGTCATTGAAATAATGGCATAAGCCATGAGAAAACAAATTTGTAAGGAAAGACAAGCATGAAAATGGCTAATATACTAAATAGACTGAATAGTAAAGTGATGCCACTGATCTGAAGATTCTTTTATGCATATTTACTCTTTTTTATTATTTAAAAATCCTCACCTGAGATTGATATGTTTATTTATGAGAGAGAGAGAGAGAGAGAGAGAGAGAGAGAGAGAGAGAGAAACATCCCATATATGTCTCGACCAGGTATCGAACCCTCAACCTAGGTATGTACCTTGACCAGGAATGGAACCCACAACCTTTTTGGTTTATGGGATGATGCTTGAACCAACTGAGCCACCCAGCCTGGGCCACATATTTACTCTTTCATTTAATGTTGGGGCTTAGGATAAACTGGAGTTCAGGACCTATGTGAAGTTACTTGTGATCAGCTTCTTCACATCATTTAATTGCAGTCATAAAGCACCACACAACATCCTAGTTACTAGAAGTAATTTCTGATTTTAAACTTGTTAAATCTTTTTTTAAAATTTTCTGTTTTGTTCACAGGGAATTTGTAAAATTCAAAATAAATCCTTCTTTAACCCAAAGTAATTGCAAAGAGAAATTTTAAATTGATAAAGCATAGATATAAATAAAGAAGGCAGAGAAAATCAGCAAAAGTTCCTGAGAGTTCCTTTTAGAAAGAAAAGAAATGAAGATGAACAGGGTTTCTTATATGCCACAAACAGGAGAAATCACACAGTGCATTCTCATCACACCGACGTGGTGCCAAGAGAAACTCTGCTGGAGAAACTGGTAAACGGAGGAAATTCGTTAGCAAACCGCCCCCTCCCCAAACACCACACAAAAACAAAACAACCAGCTGAGAAGCAGGCATAGAACTTACTAGTGAAAGAGAAGATGAATTTCTTGTAAGGAAGCCACTATGTCTCCTCTGCCTGCCCCTCGGAGGGCAGACGTTGAGTATAGCCGAGGCAGTCGCCGCCAGAAGGTAATAAACCTCTGAAGGAGAGCGGCACCTGCCAGAGAAGTGTGACAGTATGATACTGTGGGTAGAGTCTTTGGGAGAGACACTGCAGGGAAACAGTCCTTATGTCTCTCTTCAGGTACCAGCCAGGTGTACAGTTTTGCTGTCTAGACATTAAATCTGTTCATCAGTGTATAACATTTACCTGCCATTGTGTGTGTGTGTGTGTGTGTGTGTGTGAGAGAGAGAGAGAGAGAGAGAGAGAGAGATGAAAAACTAAATTGTTTTGTGGCTTACACAATTCTGAGAATATATGATCTGGCTTGTTTTTCATTTGGGTTATAATTGTTTCTTCTTTTAATTTCACAGTGTGTGGACAATATACGGTGTAATGGTTTAATGACTATAGTGTTTGAAGAGAATTCCAAAGTTACTGTGCCACATATGATTAAGTAAGTGCTATACTACGTTTCCTTGCATTTTAATCAAGATCGAATTGAGAGAGAATGTACAACCCTGAATAAAATATTGCTTCAATATCATTCTGCTTCATATTGTGAATGTTTCTTGGCAGTAATATGATCATTCATGATATGCCATTATAAACAAGACTATCAAAATGCTTATTGGGACTTATAGTTTATTGACTCAGAGCATAGAAAAAATTGTTTTCATACTGTTACATGTGCTTGCACCCAGGACAGAAAATCCTATGGAGATTTTCAAGTTCACTATAAAAAGTTGTGACAGCCAGATGTGTCTGAGGTCAGAAGGGGGATCAAGGTGTAGCAGATCCTCTTGGCATCTTCCCAAGGGTGTAGATATTGTTACTCAGGTTCAGTTATAGAAATGCATTTAGATTTTGAAGACAATGTGAATCATCTGGCTTTTCCATGGTTGCATCTACCCTCTGCCCATATATGGGTCTGTCCTAGAGCCTGTTGCCCAGGGCTGCTGTCCTGCTCTTTGTATTGTTTTGTTAGCAAAGCAAGTCCTGTCATTTAAAGTGATTGACAGGGATGTTCTAGTTTAAAACGAGAAGCTGTATCAATAACTATGTGTCACAGCTTGCTTTTGTCTGTATGTTCTTCTTTCTTCCAAATTCAGAAATCGTTTTGGGAGTATTTTGGAGCTGACCGGGTTGTCTCATGTGCTCATTTTCTTGGTTATTTGCTATCCAAGCTCTAAGAATAAAATGTATTTTTAAAAGCAGTTCTGTTACATATTTTTAAAACTTACATAAAACTAAGAAAATGTTTGTCTTCTATACCTTTTTATGTGGGTTTTTGGTGGGTCTGAGCCGTTTACTCTAAGGCAATAAATAACATTAACTTTACTCTTCACAGGTATTAACTATAATCAGCTTTATTTCAATGGTACAACTTTTAAAAAATTAATTATTGTATGAGGGGCAGGCAGAGTATATCACACTAGTGCCATAATTACTACAGAAAAAATTATAAAAGGATGATAGTATTTTAGGCTGGGTGAAAAACAAAACAAAACAAAAACCCCCAAACAAAAACCCCCAAACAAAAATCCCCCACAACTCATAGACACAGACAACAGGATGGTGATTGCCAGAGGGAAGGGGATGGAGGGAGGTAGGAGAGGGTGAAAGCAGGGTAAGGGAATCTTAACTTTAACAAAAGGATGATAGTGTTTAAATTACTAGTCAAATTAAAAAATATCTGGGGTAGGATTATTTAAAAACTCTAGGGCAAAGATTTCTTTAGTGTTTAGTTTTCTAGGTTTTTAGTTTAGTGTAGTTTTTTTAGAAAACCAGCTTGGTTAAAAATGTGTGATGCTAATATTAAAACCAAGAAAACCAAGTATAAAATATTAAATCAGAAGATGCAATTTGTGACTTGGTTTTAAAATTCACATTGTTGGGCTGGAGTTTTTGTATTAATTTTTTACCCACGAGATTCTTATTTTAATATTTCATAATACAATATATATTATTTTTATTTGTTTAAAAAGTATTCTCTCGAAGGTTAGACAGCCATGAAAATCCAAACTGCTTTAGAATGAGAATATGTAAGGTGGACACTGCACCTGAGTTATAATGCTAAACCCAAAGCTGTTGCATATCTACTATTCATACATTTTGTTGACTTTAAAAATTAATGCAGATAAAAACTTCAGTTTCATGCCTGACCGGTTATGACTGACACCCAAATGCCTCTCTGTCCCCAGTGATGGCAGTTTGGCCAGCGTTCATGTCCAATGTCATTGGTGTAACTGCCTCCCTAACGGGTGGAGACTTCCCTGCCTTTGGGTACACAGAGGTGATGCTTGAATGAGTAGGACTGTTTGTAAGAACAGAAACTTCTATCTCGAGCTGTGAGAAGTTTCTGTTGGAGTCACACATTTTGATGCCCATCTGTACTATACTAGATATACATCCGGGGCAGAGTTTCATATATTTCTTTCTTCTATTTTCCTCTACCTCACTGAGCCTGATTCTCCTCAATCAGAGGAAAGAGGATGATTTTGCAATTTCTGTTCCTTATGATAGTCTCCTCCATGGCCCTCTTCTATCCTAAATTCTGTATTCTTGTTTCTCTCTGCATCTCCCTGGCTATATACCATGAAAAAAAAAAAGAGAGAGAGACATTTTGTAGAGTTAAAAGAAAAGTTATCTTAGTCATGTCTTGTTACTGACATGGCAACACTTCGCAGGCACTCACTTCCTTTTAAATCTTACTACTTATACTGGGTGATATGGGTTTGATGCTTTAAGATTTTAAGGGTTTTTTTAAGTGTTTACCAAAAGGGAGCAGTTCTTATCATAAGAGGCTTAAGTAACACATTATATCTTGGAAGTCCCTTAGGAAATAAAGACCTTGTTCAGTGTAATAAAAGAAAATTAAATAATTTCATAATATGTAATTTTTTCTTTACTCAAAATTAAAATGTAATCACAATTTTAAAGGACAGTGGCATAATTAGTTTTGTTTTATATTTAATTTTATATTTCATTTAACCCAACAGATCCAAAATGTTAATACTTCAACATCTAAACAACGTAAGAAGTATTCATGAGATTATTTACATTTTAGTCAGTTTTGTTTCAATTTTGTGTTAGCTATAGCACATTTTTTTCCTCCTAGTGTTTTGATTGAAGTAATTAAAGTCAAAAGATGAAAATCTCAAACTACAATCAAAATGCAAAATTGTGACATTTATTAAGTGAAAATACCCCTTTAAGTGGTGTTTTACATTTTATGTATCAGGTTGAGGCTTGCTTTCTTTTAATAAGAGTTGACCTCAAATTTCCTGGAAAATAGAGGTTTTTGGTGGGAGGTGGTGGGAGAAAAGGTGATCGCCTCAGTCAGCCATCTTCAGACAGACTGATTCATCAAAGTTTCTAAGGTCGTTTTACAAATGAGAAAATTAAGAACCAGAAAAGTACAGTTGCTTAAGGGTCACATAATGAGTGGAAAAAAGAGCCACGTAGTTTTCAAGAATCTCAAAGGACATGCTTGTGCATTTTTGATATCAGTAATGAGGCTAAAACTAGTAGCCCACCCTTAGTCGATTTCTCGGTAGGGGTTAGCAGCTCATTTAAAATGCCCTTTATGCCCCCATGTGAAATACTTCTGTCTGCACCGAGCATACTTTGGGGTGGGAAGTTTCCAAGAACAAGCTAAGAAAAGCTATTGATTCCTTTTTATCCAAAAGAAAATAAATAATAATTTGAAACTCTTCGAAGAGCTGAAGGGGATAATTATGGGCACTCTCAAAAAGCCAACTAATTCTTAGCAAGCAGTCGCCCCACTGAGCATCACTGGCCCTGTAGCATATCTTTTAATCAGGTGGTGAAATCCAAGGCTTCATTGATTGCCCGTCCGAGATGCCGCAATGAAGGGGAACAAAGATCTCCGATGGGAATGTGAGGGCTCAGGGCACTTCTAAGGAAGGTGGGCATTTCTGAGCCCCACTTGGGTTCAGCCTTTGCTACTAATTTTATCCTCGTGCAAACTTTGCTCCTCCACTGGCCCCTTTTGCCCTTTTAATAAACACTCACCGGAGCTGAGAGATCTGAGCAGGCAAAGGCTCCTGAGGGCTGAAGTGCGAATCCTCTCCCAGTTTGCGCACCCACCTGGAGAGGCTGCTGGGGCTTCCAGTGTATGGGTCCAGTTGGGTTGAGGAGCAGCCAGATGGAAGGTTTTACAGAATGAGAAAAACCAGAGTGATGCAGCAATCTGTAGAAGGGTTTGCAGCCTGTATTTCACCCTTTCTTTTTAATTAAGGTAAAACTGGTATATGATATCAGTTTCAGGTACACATAATTTGATATTTGATAATTTGAAAGTGATCACCACCATAAGTCTATTACCTATCACCATGCAACTCACCCTCTTTGCCCATTTTACTTTTTAAAAAAAAATGAAGACATTTTAATACTGCAGAATAATGAAAACAAAGCATTTTACACAATTTATAGATTAAACTGTACTCATGAAGTGGATAGCTTTAAATGATCAGTAAGTTAGAAAGAATGGAATAAATTAAGCATTTGGCTCAAGATGTTAGAAAAAGAAAGACAAAATAACCTGCAAGGAAAGTATAGGAAGGAATAATAATTAAAGACATTAATAAACAGACATTAGTAAATTATAGAAAAACAGTAAAATTGATAAACAGACAGTTCTAGAAGGAGAAATACATAGTTATATAATCTATATAATACCTAATGTAACATAATTACAATAACAACAGACATCAGTAAATTAAAATACAGAAAAACAGAATTGTTAAAGAGCCAGTTCCAGAGGGAGAAATACCTTATAATATAATCTGTTAGTCAGTTTGGCCAAGAACAAATGCACAGAAGTAGAAGTGAGCAAAAGAAGTAACCACAGACACAGCAATGACATCTGTCCCCCCTCCCGACCCCTTGTCAGACATCACTTTTCAAGGGCAATTTTGATATTCTGATTTAAGGGCATAAGCAAAGCCCCTTGTAAATAGGGCTTTGGCCTCCTTTCCCTATTTAAACATGATTGAAATAGAGAGAGAAGGGAAGGGTAACAGATAATGCTATCCCAAAATGTGCCACTTCATTATATTGGTTATTTTGAACAGTAGGAACTTGAAAAACAGTGAATGCATGGAGAGGCTTTCTCCAAACTCCCCTTATCTGCCTAAAGACAGATCCTCTAAAAGAGACTTGATTGCCATAAATGCCTTCCCAGAGAGTTTCATCAGCCAGGGAGGACTGACCCTTGTCACAGGAGAGGAGACTAGAAGCCGACACCACGCCCAGAAAAACTGTTACACACGATTTCATCTCCCATCTATTCTTCTAAAGACCTGTTCATCTTTCCTAAGAATCATTTGCTCTTCCTTAAGAGGCTGCCATTCCTCCTCCCCTTTCCTTATTAAGATGGTGTTTAATCCTGAGTCTAAGCCACCTTGAGGAGTTACTCATTTCTCCCTGGGTATCTCCCATGCATTCATGCTAATAAAATTGTTTATTTTTCTCTTGCTAAGCTGTCCTTTATTCCAGGGGTCTCAGGCAAGAACTCAGAAGAGTAGAGGGAGAATTATTTTTCCTCCCCTACAGAAGGAATCTACAAAATGAAATGAATGATTATTAGCTCCTCCACAGTGAAGTCTGAGCTTCCTAAGTTATACTAGCATATTTGGTGTTTTCACAGCCCTGCCTTGTGGTGTGCAGTGTCACATCAGCATCTCTTACCAAGTGCAATGGGATGTCCCTACACAAATGTGTATGTGCCAGTGCATATCCACCCAGTGGCCAAGGTGTTGTGGGCTTGTTCTCATGCTCCTGCTTTGTGCACAGGTCTGATGCCCGTCTTCATAAAGATGACACTGACATTTGCTTCAGTAAAACACTCAACTCCTGCAAAGTGCCCCAGATCCGCTATGCCAGTGTGGAGCGCCTCTTGGAGCGTCTGACAGACTTGCGGTTTCTTAGCATCGATTTCCTCAACACCTTTCTGCACACCTACCGTATTTTCACAACGGCAGATATGGTACTGGCGAAGCTTTCTGACATATACAAGAGGCCTTTCACCTCCATCCCTGTCAGGTAGGCCCGGGATTTGCCCCTCATGAAAGTGTAGTCCTCCTAGTCCCTGGGTCTCCCACAGATGAGCAGCTCTGAGGATATTGTTTTGCCTTTGAACTTACCTCACCAGTAGCAGAGGATGATAGAGGTCACAGATAATTCCTGAGGGAAGAAGTTGAGAACCCTGAAGTCCCCAAGTGGCCTCTGCTGGCTCCATGATTATTTGGAAGCTAACTCCATTATCTGAGGCTTTTCTATTTTATTTTTTACAATTGTGCTCTTCAAACTGTAATATGCATAAGAATCACCTGGGGGTCTTGGGAAATGGCAGGCTCTGGTTCGGTAGGTCATTTCTCACAAGCTACCCAAAGATACCAATGCTACTGGGTCCTTGGACCGCAGTTTGGTAGCAAGGATTAGATACAGCCTAAAAAGTATCTGTGTGCCTTTGGCAAGCGTGTGGAATACAGGTAGCACTGAAATAGGAGATCCAGCACAGAAGTGAGATAATATTATGGCCTTTTAATGTAGGGAGCATGTTCTTTCCTGACATCAGAGGAATTGTTTTCACTTGGCTGCAATCTCTGCTCATATTTTTAGGTCACTGGAATTGTTTTTTGCTACCAGCCAGAACAACAGAGGTGAACATTTGGTGGATGGCAAATCCCCACGCTTGTGTCGCAAATTCTCTTCCCCACCACCCCTAGCTGTGTCCAGAACGTCCTCCCCAGTGAGGGCCAGAAAGCTGTCGTTGACTTCTCCCTTGAACTCAAGGGTAGGAGCGTTGGACCTGACCACCGCCCCGGCGTCCAGCAGCCCCACCACCACCCACAGCCCTGCGGCGTCCCCACCGCCGCACCCCGGTAAAGTACCGTTGGATCTTAGCAGAAGCCTTTCCTCTCCAGAGCAAAGCCCAGGATCTGTAGAAGAGCATTTAGATAACCCCCGCGTGGATCTGTGTAACAAGCTAAAACGAAGTATTCAAAGAGGTATTATCGGCTGCCACACCCATGTTTGCCGGCCACCTGCTTCTGCACCATCCCCTCTGGACCCCCGGCTCCCTCTCTTTATGACTTCTACATACAAAGTAGAATGTAGACAATGGGTAGTCAGAAGAACAAAAACCTGTAGTTCCCTATAGCTTTTGTGGAGAGGAGATCAGTTAGCTCTCTTAACGTCTCTTAATGTCTTCTAGAGAAAAGGCTACTTGCTGTTGGTTGTTTGTGGAAGAATAGCATTTTCTGAATGATATTACTGGAAGGTTCTTCATGGAATATCGTTAAGGCTGGTTGGGTAAAGAGCCTACCTAGCATGGCACTCTGCATAGAGGTAGGTTGCGGGCACCTTCCTCCTTGAGCTTGGCCCTCAGAGCCCGCTCCTCCTGCGGCGTCTGCCTGAAGCACCTGTACTGCCTCCAGCCTCCCCTGCAAAGGGTGCTCTTGCCTGGAAGCATTTCGATGGCTTCTTCAGTCTAGTTACCAAGGCAACACTCCATATTACAAAGGAAATCTAAAGAGAAAAATCAAATCTGAGACAGTGTTTATTGTCCATGGCAGGCAAAATGGTTTTTTAAAAGGTGGATTAGATGATTTGTTTTCCTGATTAAATTCTCTAATGATTTCTTATCATACTTAGATTACAGTGCGTTTTTCCTGCCAAGGCCTTCAGACCCCATGAGAATTGGATGCTATCTCCCTCTCAATGCCGCCCCTGCCATGCTCCTTCATCTGCTGGGCTACAGTCACATTGATTTCCTTTTTATTTTATATTTATTATTATTATTTCTTAAACCCTCACCTGAGGATGTATTTACTGATTTGAGAGAGAGAGAGGGAAGGAGAGAGAGAAAAAAAATTAAAAAACACACATCGATGTGAGAAACATCAATCAGTTGCCTCCTGTACACATTCTGACTGGGGTTCAAACCCGCAACCTTCTGGTACATGGAATGACGCTCCAGCCAACAGACCCATCCAGCTAGGGGTGATTTCCTTTTTGTGTTTCAGAAACACCTTAATTATTGCTGCCTCAGGACCCCCTTTGCATGTGTTCTTCCCTCTGCCTAGACAGTCTTACCCCCATATAAACTCCATGAGATTAGCAGCCTTAGCTATCATGTTCACCTCTGTATACTCAGTGCCTTGGCCAGTGCCTGGCAAGTGATAAATTTTTGTTCAATCAATAAATCAAGCAAAACTCTCAGCAAACTAATCTAGGTTCCTATGGTACCTCACCTTACCTTCCTCAGCTCCATACAATGTAGCTAGGGGTTGGTGGAGGCTACCCTTGTTGCTTTTATAATCCAGTGTTTCTGTGATGTAAACAAGAAAGGTTTCACAGCCAAATTAGAAGACAGCTTTATTTTTTGCTGTATAATTGTTACAGAACAGACAGGGGGAAATTATTGGCTCACCCAGGGATGCCAAAAACTGTTACAGATGACAGGGGGTTGAGGACAATATACTATTATCAAAAGGACCCCCTATGTTTGTTATGTCCACTGCCTTATAGGAAAGACATCTCTCAATGCCAGAGATTTGTGAAAAGGAAAGGAAATGTTTATTTGATGCTATACACACTTAAAGTAGTGACCTAACATCTTCATCAAAGTCCCAAAGTCCCTTGAAACACCCAGAAACACACACAGTCTTTCCTTCCTCCCTTTGCCCAGTCTGGGGTACCATATCTCAGGAAAAGAAATAGAAGTCCATGGCTCAGGCAGCCCCCAGTTCTTCCCAGTAATCCATGCTCGGCTGGTAGGCCTCCCTCGGTTCCCAGCACCATCAGCTGTGTTGCTGGGATCTCTGCTAAAGCTGTGTGGTGGTTCCCCCTACTAAAGCTGTGGGGGTCCAGGTCCCCACTCTGGCAAAGCGGCGTGGTTCTCTCTTCTATTGCCACAGCCACGTGGTCCTCTGTCTTTAATGGCTGCTGAGTCTGGGTTTAAATCCCCGCACCAATCTTCCTCTGCAGCCCCATTTCCGACTCCTTCCACAATTGGCTACACTTGCCAGCACTCCCATATCCTTCCAGCTTTACTGGGCTGCCACAGTGAGTCTGGGCAGGTGTGGTCCCATGGCATGGAGCCAATCATCTCCAAGCTCTCACACAGGTGCTGTAAACAGGGGGAGTTGCCTCCCAGTTACACCTTGGGTGGAAGTCAATCCCTTCTCCCTGGCTCAAAGCATGGCTACAGCTATCCAACATATCTATGAAACCAGTTCAAGGTTATAAATATGTTAAGTGACCATGCCAGAAGTTAGCTGCAAAGCTGTTGCTATGCAAAACAGTTAAATGGCCCTGCTCCATGTGTCCCTTCCCCCAACTCACACCTGTGGGGGTAGGTGGGAGGATATCCTAATATTTCCTGGACACCTTGAGTTCTGGACCCCATTCCAAATCCCTATTTGGGCCCCCCCTCTTGGCTGCACCCTGTAACATAATAACTGATTTACTTACTGATAACAAAAAATGGGGAAATAAGCAATCGACATGTCCAAATTTCAAAGAGGATCACTCACAGGGAAGCAGAGACCCCAGCTTTTGTACCTTCTTGAAGTTTCTCTGCGCTTTCTAGCTCAGATCATTTAAATAAGCTTCTCTAGTGAACTACTTAATGGCATTTTAACTGGAGTGGTTGTCATCATCAAAAGTAGCAGCCTTTTAAACAAGAAATCCTTTAAATTGACAAGTTAGCAACTAAGGAGGAGGAAAGGAGGAAGATAATTAAAAAGTCATCAGAACAACAAGTTTCAGCAGCATCATGATAGATTCTTCTCAGGAATCATAAGGAGGCACGTGTGCTGACAAGTGCCTCTGGGATTCCATCCAGCACCGGTGCTTGGCCACTTCCACAGACAGAATGACAGGGAGGCTTATCCCAGCCCTGCCCTCTGGGGCAGGGTACCCTGAGAAGTGCAGGAGTTTCCCAGAATAGGGGAAGTTCTTTCCCCTTCTTTATTGGACTGCAGTAAATAGAGGAGGAGAAATCTGGAGATAAGTTTAGATGCTCAGTTATTTTGAGTTCAAGAGCTCTAGGAATAAACATGAGTGTCAGACATTTGTGTCTCTGAGGCCTCAAAGACATTTGTGTCTTTGATTGCCCCTGGGGCTGGAATGAGAACACAGTAGGTCTGTTCAAGAGTCACTGCTTCATGTTCTTCTCTGTGCAGGTCGCTCTGCTACAGTGTCCATAATGGTAAATAAACACTGTGTCCCAGCCCCTTACACGCTTAGTTATGTGGAGAAGACAGATATCACGTAACTATAAGAGTAGTACAAGAGATACAGACAGAGTACCCTGGAGGGTGAAAAACACAGGAGATCACGTCTGCTTGAGCGGACATGTCATTGACATGAGCCAGTGGGATAGGTAAGGGGGTTGTAGATGGGTGAGCATATGAGCAAAGGGCTAGTGTGAACCTCCAGTGGGGAAAGGCATTTCTGAGGGCAGGAGATGTCCAGTTCTGTTGCCATGTGCAGCCCCACAGAGCAGACCTTGGCTCTGGTCTTCCTAGGGCTTTTTTTTTTTTAAGATTTTATTTATTTATTTATTTTTATTTTTTTTAAAGATTTTATTTATTTATTTTCAGAGAGGGAAGGGAGGGAGAAAGAGAGAGAGAGAGAAACATCAATGTGCGGTTGCTGGGGGTCATGGCCTGCAACCCAGGCATGTACCTTGACTGGGAATAGAACATGTGACACTTTCCTAGGGCTTTCTGGTATTGAGGAAACTTTAGGAAAAAAAATAACAACTCTCCTAAAAATCATTATTCTTCTCCCTTTCCTTCTCCTTTACTATCTTAACCATTTTTAAGTGTATAATTCAGTATTGTTAATTATAGTCGCACTGTTGTGCAACTAATCTCCAGAACTTCATCTTGCATCTTGCAGAACTGAAGCTCCATGCCTGTTAATCAGCTCTCCATTTCTCCCTCCCCACAGCAGCTGGCAAACACCGTCTGCTTTCTGTGTCTAGAGTTTGACTCATACAGTATTTGTGTTTTTGCGGCTGACTTATTTCACTTAGCATAACGTCTCAAGGTTCATCTGTGTTGTAGCATGTGCCAGAAGTTCCCTTTATTTTAAGACAAAAGCAACAAACAATGCAAATGTCTGTCAGAAGAAGAATAGGCAAAGAAAATACGTGAATAATGCTGCAGAGAGCAGGGGAGTGCAAATACATCTTTGAGATCCTGCTTTCAATTCTTTTGAATATATACCCAGAAGTGAGATTGCTGGATCATATGGGAATTCAATATTGAACTTTTTGAGGATCCTCCGTATCTTTTCCATAGTGGCTGCACTGTGTTCCATTCCCACCAATGGTGCACAGGGTTCCAATTTTCTGCATGCTTGTCAACCCTTACCATTTTCTGCTCTTTTGATAGTGTCCTTCTGAATGGGTGGGTGATGAGAATTTTTCTTTTTTGCAATTTCCCAGAGATTTTATTTTAATGTGGCTAAGGCTTGGTAGTATGGATATTATTTTTTTCTTTAACAGAGAAGCAAAAGAAAAATTTCTTTTTTTCTGCATTTTAGTCTAAATACATGCCACAGTTCTAGAGGTCCTCAGTCAAGCTTCCCATTGCTCACCCTAATTGATTCTTTCACCTTAACTTGTTACACACAAATTTTTTTCACGTTAGTCACCAAATTCCTAGTTTGGTTTTCAAAACCCAAGCCCAGAGTATATAGCCCAACTCTATATCATGAAGCCTGGTTGGGCCAACTGACTAGGTGGAGGTGTGGTCACTGGTAGGAATCAGTAGGTTTTTCCCTGGAGCAAGTTAGACATGGGGGAGGCCAATGAGAAGGAACTGGTGAAACTCTCAGAGCAGGACATTGGTGAAGGCTGCAGAGATCTGTCAGTGCAGGTGCTGGACAGAGGCAGGACCACTGGGGACACAGCAAGTGGTGACTAGAGAGCTTGTCATGTGGCAGTGTTTATGACCAGGGGCCTCGGATGGAGAAAGCCCAGGAATAAGGATGTGGCAAAAATATTAGCTTCTCTCTTACATTAGAGAAATAGCTAAAGCTGAGGGCTTAATTCCTCTGTGTTTTACTGGATTTCCTCAAAACAAATGATTTTTAGTTAGATTTCCAGGGATTCATTTATCCATGTGGTTCATGGGTTAGGAATGTCATTTTGCTGTTCCAGGTCATAGCTAAATACAGAGTTCCTCTAACTCAAGGTGATGCGGAAGTTCAAGGTTGTGTCTAGGTGAGGCCTATGGCACTGGATCAGTTGCATTTGAGCCAGCCTCCACTCCAGAGATGTCAGCGCCTCTGCCCACCCATGAACACCCCCCCTCCTTATATCTTCTTCTTACCACAACTCCCCCCAGAATTTTCATTAAGCACTTTGCTCTTGGCCACTTCTTTGCATCTTTATTTTTTCCACTTTCTGTAGCTTTCTTCTGGTTACTTTTAATGTATTCACTTCTGTCTTAAAAATATTTAAGGCAGTCATTCAAACAGGCACATGGTACAACTGGATTAAAAATGAAATAGGCAAGGAAATCAGGCAATGAAGAAAAGTTGTGGGAGGTCAAGGGCATGGTTAGTGAAAAAATGAATATTGTGTGGTCCTCTGCGCTTCCCAGAGTTGCTCAGATTTTGGCTCTGAATGTAATCAATGATATGATTCTTGACAAAACCTAAGATGGATTGGTATGCGGGCACATCTCTTTTTTTTTCTACTGGGACTTGAGAACAATTTATCCTGTGTATCCTGGTCAAGGAAACATTGCGTGTAGGAAGTTTAGAATTAATACTAGGGGCTAGGGAGTCCTTTGGCATTTTTTTTTGAATGCTGAAACAAAGGAATTAGAGACTTAGTTTTTATACTTTATTTTGCATTGGTATACAGTTAACTTTGGTCATAAGCAGTTCTAGGAAAGGCAGGGGTGAAACTCTTTACTTGAGCATCACTCTGACAGGTTTCCAGTGTGTGCACGTGTGCATGTGTGCATGTGTGCAATGCCTGTAGAAGCCAAGAGTGCTGTTGTGTTAACTCTACTGTCTAATCTTGAAAATTCTAATTGGCAAAGAAAAGGGAGGCGCTGATCTGTCTTTAATTTGAAAGATGTTTGCTTGTGCTTTCCATAATGTTAACACTTTCAAACAGTTGGCAAACTTGAATAAGAATCATATGCCAACAGTTTATACACTTTTTTGCTTTTCACTTTAGGGCACAATTCCACACAACCTCATTGCGTAAGACCAGCTTCACCCATTAATTAGGTCAACACTGAGGCCAGAGGTCTTTCTCACCGCTGCTCAGCTAGACCGTTTTCAGGGTGCACACTTTGAAAAATGCTAGTGACCTTTGTCTAGTTTTATTGTCGTTGTAGTTATAACACTGATCTTGCAGTAATTCCTGCAGGAGGACTTCAAGTGATAAGAAGGGAAAGAAGAGAAATAGGAAATATCCCTAAAAATGAGTGAGACTGTAAACTTCTGAGGAAAGAATAATGTAATTTATTTTTCCCAAAACTCAGTCATTAGATCTGTCCCAGGCTCACCCAGCATTCATTAGTGCCCTGCTTTCTTGCTGCCAGGCAGCCCCACCTTCTGGCCCTGCATTCTTCTAAAAGCTACAAATATCAGCCTAACTCACATCCAGATTCCACCCCATGGGGGAGTCTCAATAAAGATCACACTGATGGCAGGCAAGAAAGGAGAGCCCAGGTCGGGCGGTTCACTGTTTTGAGGTCCCTTCCCCAGGCAGCCTTCACTTGGGCCCTGGCTGTGCACCCCACTGCAAGCACTGCTGCACCACCCACATCACTGGTGTCTGTTTCTGTGTTCTTGGTTTCAAAATTGCCTGCCTGTGGGCTGAACGTGCTCCCAGTTTTAGCGTTTGTTTTGAACCCACATCTGCCCACTCGTCCTGCAGGCAAGCTATTTGCTTGGAATTCGATTCAAAGTGAACAAGCCAGAAGGAAATGCTGCTTTGCCCCCATCGTGCTGGCGTGGTTTCTTCTCTTCTGAGGTGTCTGTTTGCTGGCAGTGCTATTCTTAGCTTTCCTGTCCTTTCAGTGGACACTTGGGCTTGTCCATCTTGCTGGGAAGTTTGGGGGTTCACTGTAATTACTGACTAAATGATTCTCTCTCTCTTTAAAAATTTCCTCATTTGCCTGAGAGGAATGAATGGTTGGATCAGAATAAGGACATGTATTTGATATTCTGCTTGTTCTTGCAGAGCAGATGCCTTCCATTACTGAATTTTGAGGGAGTTATTTGGAAGATAATAAAACTAACAGCTAAGCACTGATTTTTTTGTTTGCATCCTGCATAGTTGCCAGCTTTCCTGTAATTAAGTCATTCAAGGGAAGATTCTAACCATTTCCCTTCCCTGGCCTTTTGTCTTTCAAAAAGGCACATTTGTGGCCATATTTCTAAGGGAGTTAATCATACGCAAGAGTAAAAATGACTTTGTATAAAGTCATTAGGACTTTTGTAGAATTTATGGATGAAATCTTGAATGGAGTGGCAACAGGAGTTGAGTTGAGAGTATTTCTGCTGACAGGGGTAACATAAAATCGGTGGAGGTGACACAGCTTTTACTGGTTAATGAAAAGCCCAAGGAAAAGAAATGGAAAAATTGTTGGAAATGTAGGGAATTTTTGTAGTGTGTTTCCTTGAAAGAACGTACACAAAATTGTTATTTTACCTGGTTAATAAGCCAGATGGAAACATCAGTAAAGGCTTAAGTATGAACCTAGAATGACATGTCTTTTATTCATGGGATGTTAGCTGCAGTCAAGAGACTCAACTGATCTTAAAACCTCCCAAATGCTCATTGTAAACATTTCCTCTTGCCTCCTGCTGGTGGGTAGGTCTGGGTCAGTGCTCTCAGGCAGAACTTTCCGGGAGGATGAAATGCTCTACACCCGTGCCGTCCAACAGTGCAACCACTAGCCACTTGTGGCTCCTGAGCACTTGAAATGTGCCTAGTGTGAGTGAGGGCCTGAAATATTAATTTAACTTTAGTTGATTTGAATTTACATTTCCATGACCATGTTTGATTAGTGCTGCCATCTTGGACAGTGCAGCTCTAGATCCTTAGGGGTCCCCTGGAGCTTCTGGGAGGCCACGTGCAGAGAGATGCAGACTTGAGTTGACTTAAGGGGGCAACTAAAGCAAAGAGCTAGTGAAGTCCCAATTTTGATCCCAGTCTGGTTTTATACCCTGAAAAAATCCCTCTTTCCCTGTTGCTTTTAACATCTGCTGTTTGTTTTTAACATCTGCAGTTGTGCTGGACAGATGGGGCCCCGCAGAGTCAGCCAGGCTCAGCAGGGTCAGCAAGACATGGGCAGAGAAGAGCTTCATTTAGATTTAGTGCCATTAGCATGCTGCCAGGGTGAATGACTCAATTTCATATTAAACCCCTCTAAAAACATAGGTTACTATGAAATGCTTATTATCTATAACAAACTTTTGTGTTTCCCTCCATGATACTGACAAGAAGCTTTTGAATTCATGGCCTGCTTGTTAAAATTTGTGGTGTTTTAAAGCAGCAGTCCTGGAGTCTGCACCGGTGGACCGAGCAGGAGTGGAGAGTGCCCCTGCGGCGGACACCACAGAGCTCTCGCCTTGCAGGTCACCCTCAACGCCTCGGCACCTCCGCTATCGCCAGCCTGGAGGTGAGCGCTCAGGAAAGGACTTGGAAACAAAGAAGTGAAAGATGATTGCGAACTTCTGAACCTTTAGTTTGCCCTACTGTCTCAGTTATGAATATTAGAAGCCAATAATGTCACTATTGGACCAAGTAGGGAAAACCAAATGGTTGGAGAACATGCCATTAGTGTCACCAATATTTATGTGACCCCATTATTGGGTTGCACTCTGTGTAGAGTGATGTGAATAGAAGGCCTGTACCAGCTGATTGCTAGTGGAAGAATCTCAGTTTCAGACAAGTATCTCAGAATCCTATTACACCTTACCATGAATCTGTGTTCAATAGGCTCATCTGGGACACCACAATTTGGAGGGGTGAGCTTATTAAGGGTACTATTTAATCTAAAAATAAGGAACGTCTGCATGGGACCTTAATCATTATTGCTAGCAGCAGAAACCAGTATATTTTCTATAGATATGAAACTTATGAGTATTGGGTTGGCCAAAAGTTTGGCTGGGTTTTTTTGTCTGATAGCTCTGGTAGCACTTAGTTGTCTTTAACTTCATTTGAAATACTTTTCTTAGATTGTGTTGTGACAGCTGTCATATCAGCATGCATTTTAAAAAACCTTATCAAAATTGGTGAATTTTTGTGCAGCCATTTTAATGTTGAAGATGGAAGAAGATACTCAAACTTTTGAGTATCTCAATGCTTTATTATTTCAAGAAAGGTAAAAACACAACTAAAACACAAGAAAAGATTTATGCAGTGTGTATGGAGAAGGCACTGTGAGTGATTGAATGTGTCAAAAGTGGTCTGTGAAGTTTCTTGGCACTATTGACATGTTGGCCAAATAATGCTTTGCTGTGGGGCTGTCTTATGTGTTGGAATATGTCTAGCAGCACCCCTGGCCTCTACCTACTAGAAGCCAATAGCAGGAGATAGCCAACATACTCAAAATATCCAAATCAATTAAGTTACTGGTAAAAATGAAAAATATGTCTTTTATTTTTTGGAAAAAACTAAATGGACTTTTTGGCCAGCCCAGTATTATCCATGCATTCATTTTAGAGCATAGCAAATATCCTATGGAGGAAACATCATCAGAACAGAAGATTGAAATCTTTCCTTGCCTCATTTTCCTCCCAGCTCAAAGAAATATATCTAAATAATGGTTGTTTTTGAAACGTTTCCTTTTTTCTCCACAAGCCAATTATTTCAAGCTGGAAGGGAAAAATATACAATTATGAAACCAGATTCACCGCAAGTAACTGAAGTAAAATGTAAAGACACATTTTTGGCTTCACTACTTGTGCTTCAAGTAGGGCAGTTAGCACAAGATAGAGAAGCATGCATGGCTGCCAACAGTCTTTTCATTCATAGCCTCAACCTCGTGGTGAAAGTTGTCACTGCCCTCAGCTCCAGGAGCAGCTGGCCTGGGTCAGGCTGTTGTCTGATTTGCCCTGATGGGTGGTAGCCCTCGGGAAGCAGACTGATTTCAGGCTGCTGGTCAATTACAGGTTCTGGTAAAGGAAGGTGACAAACTAGATTTTCCTGGCTTGTCAAAAGACTACTGTATAATTAGCCAAATCTCTTTATCATTCTCAGAGCCGTGATCAATCTGGGCCTTGGCAACTTTTTTGACAGTTGCTCATGAGACAGATGCCCTTGGGTTCATCATAACTTGGAAGAGTTTGGGGCCAAAGTCCATGGAAGCAAAACTCTACCAAAGCAAGAGCGTTAAATGCTATTCACTTGATTACTATTATTGGGGCTCTATTTTCATACATTTATATTTATATGTAAAAATTTTAATTTATATAAGTATTTCTTAGAAATCCACATCCTGTTTGTGGATTAACTAAGTCTTTTGTTTCTCTTCTTGATATGACTAAAACATAGAGACATAGGAATGTAGGAGGGAAGCTATAATGTGTAATAATATGGAGGATCCAAATAGAAGCAGTATCACATTTTCTCGCTGTGTACCTGAAATTTTGCCTGTTTCTCTGACTACTTGCCACCTTGTTCCACAAATGTTTTAAGGCTCCTGCTGAAGGAGAGGGTAGAGCTGTTCTGTTCTCTCGTGTGTGGGCACATGAGCCTGCTCTCTGCCCTCCCTCCTATTTATTTATTTATTTGTTTATTTATTTACTTAAGCATGACTGTAGAACTTAGGGGCAAAATGATAAAAGTCCTTCAGGTCACAATCACAGTCACCTATTTTCACTAAAAGCCTGAGGGAGAAAAAAATGAGTTTGGCATTAACACTATCGAATGCTGTGTGTAAACTGTCTGAGGGGTAAGAAGGACTGCCAAAGGGTGCTGAATGCATTTTTTAATCAAAGGTATTGGGGTGACATTGATTTTAGAATGCACTCCTACTTTGGAAGGTGATTTGAGAAGAAAATTCTATTGGAAACATGATGTAGAATATTAAAAAATACTTTTCATATTAAGATATAATTCACATACCATAAAGTTCACACTTTTAAAGTGTACAGTTTAGTGGTTTTAACATTTTTGTAATGTATTCTTAACATATCTGCAGCCATAACCATGACCTTATTTCAGAACATTTTAATCATCTCGCCCAAAAGGAACCCTGTACTCATTGGTCACTCCCCATTTTTATTTTCCCTCCTTCCCTGGCAGCCATTCACCTATTTTCTATCTCTATAGATTTACCTATGTTGGACATTTAGTATAAATGGAATCATACAATGTGTAACCTTTTGTGACATCCACTTAGCATGTTTTCAAGGTTCATCCATGTTGTAGTATGTGTGTACTTCATTCCTTTTTGTGGCTAAATAATATTCCCTTGTATTGATGTACCACAGTTAGTTTACTCATTCATGAGTTGACAGACATTTGGTGGTTTCTGCTTTTTGGCGGTTTTGAATAATGCTGCTGTAGGTAGTCATGTATAAGTTTTGCGTGGACGTATGTTTTCATTTCTCTTAGGTCTATATCTAGAGAAGACTTGCTGATGCAGAATCTTATTATTTGCCTATGAATAAGGGAGATACAGAGTATTTGGCCCAATTGTTCATCCAGTGCAGGAATGAAAATGAGAATTTTGTTTTAAAATGTTATCCACCTGCCTCACCATGCCATTGCCACTCTTTTTCAAATCACCAGGACAGATGGCTGACAGCCCCCACTGCCCTGTCTCACCTGCCTCTGCCTTTGCGATTGCCACAGCTGCAGCCGGACACGGGAGCCCACCGGGTGAGTAGGGGCTGCAGCTAAGCAGGGACACATGGCAAGTCGTATCACGTCTTTGATCTTTGCCTGCCAGTCTAATGATATACTCTGGGCAGCTTGGGGAGAATGCAGATCCCCAGGATGTGGTAACTATGTGTGGTGCCAAGTGGGTACTAGACTTGCCAGCGTGATGCTTTGTAAGGTATGTAAATGTCTAATCGCTATGTCATACACCTGAAACTAATGCAATATTGTTTGTCAACTATAATTGAAAATAAAATAAAAAAAAGAGTGCAGACCCCCAGCTGCTATTGTAAGTCAGTATGTCTGGGTGAGACTGTCACTTAAATAAGCACCTGAGGTGAGTCCCACACAGGTAGCCTATGAGTAACACTTCTGAGAAATTCAGCATCAGAGAAGGATATGTTGCTTCACCCATGGTGTTTCATGGGGTCCTGTAACCTCTTTGATGATGTCCCCGAGAACATGCATTTCCCTTTTAGTTGAGTACAATGCTAAAAGCATCTGCAAGGTGGGAGGGAAGTCTGTGGAGGGGGATGGAGGAGGCAACTATTGCTTTAGCTGACTCATAATTTATTTCCAGTAGCTCCATGATGCTTCCTGAGTTGCTGTTAGTTAATTTTCAGGGGAAAGCAGAAATACTTAAAAGCACAGTATTTTAATAGATGAAAATCTCCATTGTCTCAGTCCTCTTCTCTCACATGCAGGAGGACATTATGTTCAAATAAACCTATGTGTGGTTCACACAGCCTTGTTGCTGTGAATATCTTAATCTAAACTAACCCAGCAGGTGCTGTTGCTCACCTGCCACACAGGGGGCCATTTCCCAAGCCTGCAAACCTGTATTCAACAGTAGTAACTAGCAGCTGCCATCTGTGTGAATTCTTTCTACATTAAGTAAGGACAAAGAGAGATGTTCTATAATGAACATGAACTACCATAGTAATTATATGCATTGCATCTGAATGGACATAGACCACATCCTACTTCTTCCATACTCACTGCATTGGATGTGGTCAGGCAAATTGGGGTGTTTTCTACCCCAAACATCCCCAAAACCTTTCCCCCAAAGTCCCATCAACATAGCACAAAGCAGCCTGTAATGGTAATAGTATTATCTTGCCAATCCAGCTGACTTCTATTGTTGACTGTATTCTGTGGTGAACATTTCTTGGTGAAATAATAAGGAGTCTTCATTCTGCTTTCAGTGGAGTTAGTCATCAACTGGGATTCGCTAAGACCTTCTCCTGTCTTTTGTTCTCACAGTCTAGTCTGTCTGGAAAAAGGGAAGTACAGAGCTTCCTCCCAAGTTTCATAATTTAAATATGGTTTGTGAGGGAAATAGCTTTTCTGTTAATTTGGGATGAGCCCATTTCCCATTTGCTGGAGTGGAAAGTCCTTTTCTTTTCACCTGAAATTGCAGCAGAGTTTTAATGAGCTTCAGAGAATGGCTTGCTGACTTTTGTTTGTCCTGGAATAATGGAGCAGAGGGTAAAGTAACCAAAAAGCCAGGCCTTCCTCACTATCTGCACGTGCTGCCTCTGCTGCCTTTCTCCCTCCTCCCCTCGCAGCTCAAACAGTCTCAGGGAGAAAGCTCTCTTCAGGGAGCTGGCTGAGGAGGGCAGTCTGCCATCTGACCACGGCCAACATTGTTCAGGGCAGGGTGGCCCGACCCTGTTCTTAATGTGCTCTTGATGTTGCCTATAATGTGGTCTGGAGCCACGTGGTTCAATTTTAGAAATAAAATTAAGGCTGGATTTGACAGGGTCTATGGCCTTGCTACCAAGGCAGCAAGTTGCACACAGGTCAATTTTCAGTGGCAAATGATGGTAGGAAAGAGAGGGACACTTTTGGAACAGGGACCAGTATGTTCCTGGGGCTTAGCCACTCAGTGGCACTGGCCCTGCATGGGATTCCACCTGCCTGGGAGAACTTGGCAGAAGAGCTCGGGTTCATAGGTTGCTGAGGAAGGTGGAGTAGAAGCAGGAAGAAAGTTCTAAAATGGTCTGGACTTAGTGGCTAGCCAGGGAGAACATGCTGCTGCTCAGGGAAGGGCTACTACACCCAGATGGACAGTGTTCAGAGGATGGGAGTGCTAAATAATGGTTAACTCCCAAGTTGGACTTTGCAGCCACTCTTTGAATCAGAAGCATTGCTGGCCTGAATGCACTCTAGAACCTGAAGAGTTGTAAAGGCAAGCAGAAGGGAAGTTTGTGTAAATAAGTGAACACCTCAATGCTTCTGTCAGTCTTTGTGGGTCTTCTGTCAGCTTGTGTGGCTGCAGTGTGGGCCCACCTGGTAGTGCGGCTCTGCTGTGTCCTGGCCCACAGCAGTAGACAGGAGCCACCCAGCCAAGCATGCAGTCTGCAGCGCAGAGCGCCTTTCCGTGTTTCAGGCCCTTCTTCAGGTTCCCTCCTGCTTTGATGCTCTCTCCTCTCCACCCACCTACCTCTACCCCCATCAAATGCCACAGGAATCTGGCAACGCATGGTTAGAACTGTCAATTAATGATCATGCTTTCAAGTATTCACTCCTAGTATTTGCATGGCTAGCCATTTCTCTTTAATTATTGCTTAGAAGGTTTTCCTGCTGCATTAAAGGACTTTCAAATTTGGCAAGGGGGTGGACAGAAAATTTTCTTTGAAAAGAAGCCAGACAAGATGCTCATGCTTGGCCCCGAAGGCAGAGAAAGCTAATTTTATTTGTGGAAGGTGACCTGGGATTTTCATAGGACCACCGGCCCCACCCTGTGGCTGTGCCTAATTTTCACGCTCAGTGGCAAACAAAGCCTGGGTTTTTTCTCCCTGTTTCTTCTTAGGATCTAGAGCTGGCCCTTTCCAAAGAAGAAGGTGTCTCCTCCTTCCATCTTTGCTTGTGGATCAACAATAGTATCTCTGTTGGCAAGGAAGGAAAGCCCAATTCTATGGGTACAATTGCAGCCTACACCAATTCTTGTTGACGTCACCTTTTAAAGATTTAACAGTTTATTTAGTGTTTGCCTTCTGATTGGCCACCAGGCTAACATTAGGCTCACTTATAGATGGATATAAAATTTATGAGGTCTAGCTCTTACAGGATTTGCCTTAAGAGAAAGAATATAAAGTTACAAATGTAAATGTTTAGGGTGCCTCCTGGGCTTTAGAAGAGGCCTACACACATTGAGAGACCCTGAAGCTTAAGCCACATTGGCTTCCTGATAAATCTGTGAGTCCAGTCCAGATTGTCCTTGGAATCACAGCAGCTACAGGAAATTTTTTTTGCTGTGGAGAAAGGCGGGGGTGGGCCAAAGACCATCTTTCAGTAAAATAAGAGTCCTTGTCCGTGGTGGGAGCTTTACCTCTGTGCAACCTTGAGATCAAGGACAATCGATGGGGTCCTATGTGTCACCACACTGATTGCAATGTATTTTCAAGCATCTGCTTTAAAATAGAAACTAAATGAGTTCTGCATTGAAGTAGGAATGAAAATGTGTGCGTTCCAGATAGCTGCTGATACAGGGAATCTGCAGCTGCAGTTTGGATGTAGTTACGATAGGAATAGAAATGCAAATCCAGTGAATACACATATCAAGGCATATCATGGCACTTGCTGTACACCGGAAGCTCTAGGATTAATTATAGAGTTTATGAAATGATCTAAAATCAAATATGAAAGTGCGTGGTGGGTTATTTTTATGAGAGTAGGAATAATGGCTCTGGAGGTATGACAAGGAACTCTTGATTATCTGTGAGCAGATTATATGTTTCACTGTTCGATGAAAGTCGAAGTAAATGGACAAAGTAGAGGAATGGCTGAATGCACTTACAGGAAAATTAATTGCGTAGTTACTATTGCTTAGGGAAATAATGAGTTCTTTATTGGTAATTACTTGGTACTTGGGAAGCTGATAACTCATAATCTGTTTTCTCTTCTGTCAAACCATTCAGCTAGCTGTAGTCAATAGTAGATCTGAGCTTTGTGTGAATTGGCCTCGTACCTATTTTTAAAAATAGTGATACTTGGTGCCATCCCCAGAGTTCTGACTTGATTTGTCTGAGTGCATTATGGGTATCAGGATTTTTTTTAAGTTCCCCAGGTGATACTGATGTGGAGCCAAGGTGGGGAACTGCTGGACTAGATGGAGGAAGAGTATTTGTTCCTTGTCTGGTTGCAGCATCTCCAGTTCATTTCTTTGAAGCCCTGACCCCAACTGGAGTGGGAGGAAGCCCTTCTGCAAACTGAGTAAAGCTCAGGTCTCCCGCCAGCCCCCACCCCCACCCCACCAGTACACATCTGTTACGGAGAAGAAGGCTCTGGGCATATTTCGCAATGGTCCTCTTCCCCTTTCCCTGCAAGAGCCACTAAGATCTTTCTCTACTCTTTACTGTGAGAACCTGGTGTGGCTCCTGGAGATAAAGCTCATAGAAGTAGAGGTGGCTCCTAAAAATGAGGTTCTTGGCGGTTTCTCATTGTCGTGCCAATCCAGTTCAGCCTCCAGCAATTTTCCAAGATAGCCATTCAAGTGTTGCTACCAGTTTTTAGCTGCAGCGCCCCCTGCCCATGGGAAGCAGACATTGCCTGTGGTTCTGGACATACCTTGTCTCTCCAGATTTGGGGATGGCCACTTGCCCTGCAGCCTCAATTTTCGGATGTGTCCAAGAAAAGTCATTGATTTCCAGTTTGTCCAACTTTTTCTTATTGTAAGGACATATGTGTCAACTTTCAGTTCTTTACATGTGAGAGCTGAAACTGCAGGTCTGTTTTGGTGGGGTTTGTGTAGTGATTCTATTGGTTCTGCAGGCCAATTGGGGGAGAATTGCCCATCTTAACAACATTCAGTCATTCAGTCTATGAACTTGGAATGTCTCCATTTATTTAGATCTGTTCTCATTTCTCTCAGTACTGTTTTGTGTTTTTCGGCATATAAGCCTTACATTTGTGTTGCTGCATTTATTGCTACATATCTGATTCTCTTTGTTAGATTCTTTTCCAACTGCAGGTATCCTAGTTTGGGACATATTTTC